ATTCCCCCTCCCAATGTTACCGGTTCTCTTCACATGGGTCACGCCCTTACCAACGCCCTCCAGGACACCATGATCCGCTGGCAGAGAATGAAGGGCAAGACTACCCTGTGGCTTCCTGGAATGGACCACGCCGGCATCTCAACCCAGAGCGTTGTCGAGAAGATGTTGTGGAAGAAGGAGAAAAAAACCCGCCACGACATTGGCCGAGAGGCCATGGTCAACTTGATCTGGGATTGGAAGGATGAATACCACAAGAACATTAAGAACGCCCTGCGCAGACTTGGTGGTTCATTCGACTGGAGCCGTGAGGCCTTCACCATGGACCCCAACCTTTCAGCTGCTGTGACCGAGACCTTCGTTCGCCTTCACGAGGAGGGTATTATTTACCGTGCTAACCGCCTGGTCAACTGGTGTGTGGCTCTGAACACCTCTTTGTCCAACCTCGAGGTTGAGAACAAGGAGATTGAGGGCCGCACACTTCTCGATGTGCCTGGCTACGAGAAGAAGGTCGAGTTCGGTGTGTTGACTCACTTCTGCTACGAGATTGACGGAACCACCGAGCGCATCGAAATTGCTACTACCCGTCCCGAGACCATGGTTGGTGATACTGGTATTGCCGTCCACCCCGACGACAAGCGCTACCAGCACCTGATCGGCAAGAACGCTCGTCACCCATTCTTGGACCGTCTTCTCCCTATCGTTGCCGACTCCGAAGTCGAGCCCGAATTCGGTACCGGTGCCGTCAAGATCACCCCTGCCCACGATTTCAACGATTTCAACCGTGGTAAGGCCCACAATCTGGAGTTCATCTCTGTCATGAACGATGACGGTACCTTCAACAAGCACGCTGGTCCCTACGCCGGCATGAAGCGCTTCGATGCCCGTTACAAGGTCATTGAAGATCTTAAGGAGAAGGGTCTGTACGTCAAGTGGGAGCACAACCCCATGAAGGTGCCCCGTTGCGCCAAGTCCAACGATGTCATCGAGCCTATCATGAAGCCACAATGGTGGATGAAGATGGAAAGCCTGGTTCAGCCTGCCATCGATGCCGTTGAGAAGGGCGAAATCATTATCCGCCCCGAGTCCGCCGAGAAGAGCTACTTCCGCTGGATGCGCAACCTCAACGATTGGTGTCTCTCCCGTCAGCTCTGGTGGGGACACCAGGCTCCTGCCTACTTTGTCAAGATCGAGGGCGAGGACGGTGATGACAGTGACGGTAACCTCTGGGTCACTGGCCGTACCGAGGAAGATGCTCGCAAGAAGGCCGAGGAGAAGTTCCCCGGCAAGAAGTTCTCTCTGGTTCGTGATCCCGATGTTCTCGACACTTGGTTCTCCTCCGGGCTGTGGCCCTTCTCTACCCTGGGCTGGCCCCGTAAGACTCACGACTTCGAGAACCTGTACCCCACCTCCGTTCTGGAGACTGGTTGGGATATTCTCTTCTTCTGGGTTGCCCGTATGATCATGCTGGGTATCAAGATGACCGGTCAGGTTCCTTTCCGCGAGGTCTACTGTCACTCCCTGATCAGAGATTCTGACGGCCGCAAAATGTCCAAGTCTCTGGGCAACGTCATCGATCCTCTGGATGTCATGGAGGGTATTCAGCTGCAGGCTCTTCATGACAAGCTGCAATTGGGCAACATCGCCGATAACGAGATTGCCGCTGCTACCAGGTATCAGAAGAAGGCTTTCCCCAAGGGTATTCCCGAATGTGGTGCCGACGCTCTCCGCTTCGCTCTTGTCTCTTACACCACTGGTGGTAGGTTTCATCGCATGTCTCTGTTTGATTCTATTTGCTAACAATGGTTTTTAGGAGGTGATATTGCTTTCGATATCCAGGTCATTCACGGATACCGTAAGTTCTGTAACAAGATTTACCAGGCCACCAAGTTCGTCCTCGGCAAGCTGGGCGATGACTTCAAGCCTCAGGCTGGTGTTAAGAAGACTGGCAATGAGTCTCTCTCTGAACGCTGGATTCTGCACAAGTTCAACATCGCCGCTAAGGAGATGAACGAGGTTCTTGAGCAGCGTGATTTCTCCAACTCCGCCCAGATTTCCTACCAGTACTGGTACTCCCAGCTGTGCGATGTGTTCCTCGAGAACTCCAAGTCCCTGTTGGCCGATGAGGCCTCAGCCGAGACCAAGGAGTCTGCCAAGCAGACCCTCTACACAGCCCTCGAGGGTGCCCTGACCCTGATCCACCCCATCATGCCGTTCGTCACCGAGCACCTGTGGCAGCGTCTGCCCCGCCGCGCGGGCGACGAGACCATCTCGATCATGAAGGCTAAGTACCCCGAGTATCTCGCCGAGTTCGACGACCCCGCTGCTGCTGATGCCTACGAGCTCATCCTCAACACCTCCAAGGCCATCCGCTCTATTCTGGCCCAGTACGACGTCAAGACTCAGGGCGATATCATCATCCAGACCTACAATGCTACCAGCGAAAAGACCATTTCCGGGGAGATGAACACCATCAAGTCTCTGGGTGGTAAGACCCTCGGCGAGCTGTCCCACCTCGGCCCGGAGAACAAGAACCCTCCCTCTGGCTGTGTTGTGGCTGCCGTCGGCTCTGATGCTGCTGTCTACCTCCGCGTCTCTAAGGAAGTTGCCCTGGAGCAGGAGGAGAAGGCTAAGGCTAGCCTTGAAAAGGCCCGTGAGACTGTTCGCAGATCCCAGGGTATCATCAACGGCCCTGGCTGGAAGGAGAAGGTCAAGGCCGAGGTCCGTGAGCAGGAGGAGAAGCGTCTACGTGATGCTGAGGGCGAGGCTGCCCGTCTCGAGGAGCAAGTCAAGGAGTTTGAGAAGCTTCGCTTAGAGTAAATTGTCCGTTGTTGGATAGATTTAAACAAAATATATCAATTGATTCCCTTGTTCAGATTTGATTTTCTTTGATTTTCGCTGCGGACTCATTAAATGGATACATGGGTATTTTCTTGGCCATCTCTGTTCGCCGGACATAAACTCGGACAGATAATGTCAGAGAACACATGCTTATTTTCCCGGGGGAGAAAAGTCTAGATCTACATAGTTTATCTATAGTTGAGACAAGGCAAAAAAAGGAAATACCTCTGTTGACAGGGAAATGACAAAAAGACAAAAAAATAGTTTCCCTGGGAATCGAACCCAGAACCTTTCCGGAACATCTGCTAGTCGCATTTGTTAACGGAAAATCATAACCGCTAGACCAGGAAACTGCTCGACCACTCGGGCCAATTGATGTATAACGGTACCATATTTGACATGATAGCTCTTTAAAAAGGATATCTTTTACGAATGCATACAATATGCCAGAAATAGAATGATTGAAGCGCAAAAGCAGAGAAATTAGAGTAACTGCTCGATGGTATTCACCCGGGTGATTGCAGTTTGGATCTTGGGAAGATTGGGTATCAGCAAGGATAGGACTGACTAATCAAACAATATATCCACCGGGGCACTAGGCAATTGAAATAGACATGCATGAGCTGGCCATCAAGATAATAAAGATCGAGGTTCTCAGGCCACATTGTCTCCCACACTGCAAGGTTGACGTGCAGGTAAAGTGGTCATATTAGGATGTACAGGGACATGACAACGAATAACTTCATCTCTTCACCGACTCACTCGTCCACCCTTGTTCATCTACACACCATCGACGGATGAAAACAACCTCATCTCTATTACGACGTTTCTTTATTGAGAATGGGCAGCAACAGAGAAATTGGTGATATTGCTGGAGTATGCATTTCAATTCACATCCCATCGGACCGAACAAAAGCCAGCGAATTTTTGCAGGACGCCTTCGTGACCAAAAAGGCGATGCACCAACAGAAGCCTTCAGATTATATTGCGACACATATCCATGTCTTGCTAAAAGTGCGGGACCTTGATCACCAAGGGCTACAGCCCATCGCTGCGAAACTGGTTGAAATCCAAGTCATAAGCATAGAACTGCGTGCATGGCCAGACCTAGAGCATGAAAAACTGTAGAGGCCCAAGAAACAGCCCACACTTTCCGTCCGTCACAGCCTGGAAACAATACGGATGCTTGTGGACGTGAACGAGAACGTGCACCACCAGTTAGAAGAAGTGGAAGCCTACAAAGCAGCGAAAGAGTACCGTTCTCTTCGATCTGTCGATGACGTTGGCTATGGTGCAAGCATACTTAGTCGCCAGTCAGACGATATCTTATGAAATAAATGCTAATGAGCATGCTCGGTCACCAGCTTGTGCTTGCTATATAGTTTTTCTTCACTCTAAATCAAGTACATACGACCATAGGGTGTGGAAAACAGGGCTTCCCGTCCGCTCAGCCGTACTTAAGCCACACGCCGGTGAGTTAGTAGTTGGGTGGGTGACCACCAGCGAATCCTCACTGTTGTATGTTTTTGTCTTTTTTTACAAACTAAAATTTGGAAGAGCAACAACGACTTTTTAGTATGATAGAATAAATGAGGCCATTAAACGGTCGGAAGTGAGTAGTTTATGCGACAAGAAAGGTTCGATACGTATATATGATAACCTCGGCGAGCTGAATAACGCATTTGTTATACCATTGCTCGACATGACGATAGTACCTATTTCATCACTGAAGGAAACTCCTGCGGACCAAATAGCCAACTATTTTCATCCAGTAGAGAGATGTCTTTTTTCAATTCACGATCAGATATTGTTGGGATTGTATCTGCTCAACATGGAGTGGCCCGGTGTGAAAATGAACAGAACGTGATGAGCTTCAACTTCCTCAATGGGTAAGTCGTTGAGAGCCTTAACTACAGGGAGGGATTCAATAACGGATTATCTATGCGAGGAAGCTAGTAAATAGACATCGGAGTAAGAATTTGATAACCCAGGTTTTGTCATTACCAGTCGGGTGTTCCAAGGAGTAAGTGCATTTTGTCCAGAATTAGAAGTACATAGAGGAAGCCAAGAAAAGATCCGGAATTGTCCATCATGGTGGCATCCATCAACCTTGACGAACAAGCGATATCCCCCATTTGATCACATTTCTCACGGTAGGGAGTTTAAGCGTCGATGGCGGTGCACTGAAAATGAAAAAATTAGTAACTTTCAACCTCGAGGGGATGGGCGGCTTACGTCTTCGCCAGCGGGGCAGCAAGCAACGGTGTTCTTGCAGGTGGTTCCCTCCTGACCCTCCTCAGTGAATCCTGGTATATTTGTTAGTACAGTGCCTGGCTGAATGAAGATCTAGTTGGTAGAACATACCGAGAAGGTTGAGGTTCTTGATCAGGCTCTGGGAGGCACAGGCGGAGTCTCCAACGCCGAGCAGGTTGTTCAGAAGTCCCTCGGCGAGGAGGTTTCCGAGGACACCATCACCGCTGATGTCCTTCTTGGGGTTGCAGCAAGCAACCTCACCGGCCTGGCAGAAGCCGCTTGCCTTGGAGAGAGAGAGGCCCTTGGGCGACTTGCTGGCGGAAGGCATGGCAGCGACCGAAACGGCGAGGGTGACGATGGTAGCGAAGGTGAACTGCATTGTGACGGTTGAGGTGGTGGAGATGGGGGAAAGTGTTCGTAGAAGCTTATGGTTGATAGGAGGATGATGGATGGAGTAGAATCAGGTCCTCAGAATACCCTTTTATATCCTCAGATGGACTTCATGTCATTGCTGGTGCGGCTAAGCATCCACAAATCCTCTGGGGGTCTCGGAATGCCACGCAAGTCAATTTTGCAGTCAAGGCTAGCATGCCAGGGGGTCCACCGCGGGCGCACCTGTATGACACCTACATTCTTCCGGTTTGGGTGTTACCGCAATGGCAGGTGGGCTAGGGGACCCTGAGGGGGTCAATCACACATTTAGCTGGCACCGAGATGTCTGCTGATTCAGGTAGAGAACAAGTCGAAGTTTGAGGTGCCTCCTCTATCTGAGCTACTTTGTCCCCCTTTCTTGAATGTTAGGCGGTAAATTGCTCCCCTTTTGAAAGCTCAGGCCTCGATGCCCTAGATTCTTGGATGATCATTGGATGATGGATGATCATTTGATATTGAATGATAATTCGATGTTGGATGGTTACTGGACTCTTTGAGCCCCATTTGAGACAGACCCACTTTGATGATCACCTACACCTTCCGAATTCGAACGTGCACCAATTAAGAAGGGGCTCGTAGGGATTTAAGCATGGGTTCAAGCGCGGATGATTGACAGGGATTTTGAACCTAGGGGTTCAAGTATAGGAACTTGAACACAGGGATCTAATCGTAGTGGAGTTCACTCGATCCGCTCGCAATTATCCACTAGGAGTAACCTTGCCTTGTTGTCTACGACCCTAGACCGGTTTTCGAACCCTTTGGTTTGGCTCACGATTGTCGTGAAGGAATCTTGACGAGATACGAATACGACGGAAATGGCATGGAACACGGAAGGGGTAAAACCTCCTGGCAGAAATATGGCGGTACAATCGATGATTTTCTTCAATGATACAACATATGTAACTCTTCGATATGATATGACGAAAGCAGATCTCGATGAAAGACTGATATATACACCGGTGGAATTTTGTGGATTTCTGGCTCTACGGTCCGCCGATATTTCAGGCAAACTACCATGTATCAATTCTCCACCCTTGGGACAGCTCACAATAGCTCGTAGGGTGTGGATGTGTTGGGACATGAATGTGACTATGAGTATCTCTACTCAGCCATATGACTTAATCAAATAGGACGTGGAAACATCGAGAATTTGCACACTGAATGTTGATAGCTCGAATTCGTCTCGTTGGATGTATGTAACCCTAAACAGAGTAGTAATAACCAAAGGCTGAAAGAGATATGAAGTGGGACCTAACAAGATATTGAGATGTGCCATAATAGGCAAATGGTTGGATAGCTAGGTGCCTGGGCTGTCGAGGCAGTATCCCAGGATGGTTGGCTAGTAGACGCAATACGTATTACCCGGGCGCGCTGGGCAATCCGGAATGCATAAAATGAGAGTAATTACAACTTGATATCTCAGCAACGACCAATTTGTTTTGTTTTATTGTAAGTCCATATCTGTTGGTGGGACGTCTCAGCACTGTGTATGATTTCAAAAGGTCTGACAGTTGCATTGATTTGACATCAAAAACTAAGTTGCTGTGCACTAGAACTATATTTCACTCGATTTACAAGTCATGTAATATGTCCGCCTAGGTAAGTCCCTTTCAGGGACTATATACTTTTACTCGATTGTTGTTGGGATATCACGTATTTGATTGCCCTACTACTATGTGTTCCGCACTACGCGACTTACTCGGGAAGTACATTCGTAGATGCGGTATATTCTACACATATATTGTAATGTACGTGTGATGGGCATTCCTGGCAATATATATCATTCATCTCGGGGGAATCGTAAAAGTCTCTTGCTATGTAGTTTTAAGTAGTGAGTTGCTGAGATCTCGATATATATATTCTGGTCGCCATGTTACAGAAAACTCTTTCAACCTCCTTTGGAGAGTAAATACTCCCCCCAAAAAACCACGCTATGAGGAACTCTCCATAGACTAGTCCCGCTGGATGATCTTTCTATAACTCATTGATTTACCGTGTGTGGTCGAGAAACTAGAGATCGTTGGTGTGGGGCTGCCTGAGGCCTATAACTTCCTCATCAGGACCTACTTCTCTGCGACGTGGATTTTGCACCAACTCTCTTCATAGTCATTTAGTGGAACTATTCTCTCCGAGGTTTGCCCCCAAGTATGTTACTAGATGAAATAGTTGGATGAATATCACCATCTTTTTCTGCTTATTCTAGGCCATGATAGCATTCCCTTTCAAAACTAGCCATAAACTCCTTGCCCTAGTAGAAGTAGGATTTGAAAAATACCTAAACTGAAGAATGCAAGTAACACCCAGGCGTGAAAATAATTGATCGGCGCTGGCATGCTACCTGGGTAGCTTGGATTGTAAAACTGGATTGTAGAACTGAAGTTCCCTGGCATTCCTAGCTCAGGGATGTTTCGCCCCTCGAGAGCTAGGGGTGTTCAACCACACTGACTGTATGAGTTATGAAGCCTGGAATATAAAAGGGTACCCCGAGTACCCGCCATTGTTCAACCATCTCACATCATTTCATCAAAAACATCACTTTCAAACCTTCCTTTTCACCCTTTCCACCACCTTCCTCTCTTTCACAATGAAGTTCACTATCGCTACCCTTGTCACCCTCGCCGTCTCGGCCATCGCTATGCCTTCCATCAACGGAAACAAGCCCAAGAAGCTCTCTCTCTCCCAGGCAAGCGGCCTGTGCCAGGCTGGCAAGGTTTCTTGCTGCAACCCCAAGAAGGACATTAGCGGCGATGGCGTTCTCGGTAACCTCCTCGCTGAGGGACTTCTGAACAACTTGCTCGGCGTTGGTGACTCCGCCTGTGCCTCCCAGAGCCTGATCAAGAACCTGAACGTTCTCGGTATGTTATCCCAGATTGTACATCAGCCTGCACACGACTGACAAAGAACCTCTAGGCTTCACCGAGGAGGGTCAGGAGGGAACCACCTGCAAGAACACTATTGCTTGCTGCCCCACTGGCGGAGATGTAAGACAAACTCATATCCAAATTCACGTTATTGACATGCTGACCCACTATTCACAGTGCACTGCCATCGAGGCATAATTTCTTAATCAAGGATGGAGCGACCATCATTCAATGTGCTAGAGCAGGGGGTTTAGGATGATCAGCATTCAGGAACAGGGGTGATATTCCGATATATAAATTTAATTGTGCTCTTTGGGAAACATTCTTTCCCCTCTCTTCCTAATTCTCTCATGTCACCCGTGTCCAATATTCAAACCAACCCATGGGTGTTGACGATCGACGTTCATGCACCCGTAGATAAACCACACCAAAGAGATGTGATATCCCTGCCGCTCGACGTACGTCGCACTTTGAATACTGATATACGGACCTACAATAGCATCTTCTCTTTCTAGTCCCCATTCCAGCCATACACCAGAGACCATTTCTCAGGAAGAGCAAAATATTCCGCCTCCTTGCTGTCTGGCAAACGATCGCCCGGTCTGTAGGCCAACAAGCACCTTTAGGATGGTCCGGCAATCACCAAGAGCTAGCATACAATAAGACTCCGGCTGAGGGTTAGTCATCTACGAACCACGCAATATTGAACGGGAAAGGAGTGCCACATGTGGTGGGTAGCCACTCACTGTGAGTATACAGGGTCCAACCTATAAGTGACAGGGCAGTCCACCCGTAATCTAACGTCCCAAAAAAGTTTCGGTTTTGTCTGCAACTGTGACTTTAGCTTTCGCAACTTCCGGGGTCTTAGCTACACCAGAGAACGTCTTTGCCCTCCAATGTTTGCATTCAGTGCCACGGTTGTAGTATTCCCTCCCGACTTAAGCAGCTGAAAGGTCATGGATGTACCACAGACTATCGTAACACTGATTATTTTTGCTTCGATCATATAATATCCCCAATGAAGCTCACCGGACTCGTATATTTTAGTGCCCAGCTAGTTCCATATACAGTCTCTCAGCAAAAGTCTTAACACCACCCCGGCCCCACCTCTATACCGCCTTCCTATCTCCCTATACCGCCTTCCTATCTTACCTCACCCGCTATACAATGCGCGCTATGGGGTCTAACTATAGCGCGTATATCTCGCGTTTCCCCCCTTTTGGCACTTAGAGTATCTCTCTGAGACAATGCCAGACTGGGTGGAAGCGATTCTTGATAGTTAGGGGTAATATACAGCATATTAGGTCTATAGTATGGATGTATGGAGGTTTTAGACCGGCAGTAAATTATATAATCAAGGGGGTGTGGGGCCAGGTGTTGTTAAGACTTTTGCGTAGTCACTGTAGTTTAATTATTACAACACCAAGAGCAGAATCTGTTGGTACGGAATACACAAATAGTCGTTATCAAACGACGTTGGTATCACACGTCCACCCAGTCTATTCTGCAACGTCTACTAGAAGCCCCCGCAAATTGATTAGCAGAAATCTTCTAGGGAAAAAAAGAAGACAAAAAAACATACAACAGTGAGGATTCGCTGGTGGTCACCCACCCAACTACTAACTCACCGGCGTGTGGCTTAAGTACGGCTGAGCGGACGGGAAGCCCTGTTTTCCACACCCTATGGTCGTATGTACTTGTTTCAAGTCAGTAAGAATTTATAGTCTCAGGATCAGAAGTGTTTCCAGGACAGATGTTGCAGTATGTAAATTCGAAGATCAGTACATACTAAAACACCTGGTGTGAATGATATATCACCTACTCATGGAGTGACACAAGGGTTCTTCTACTTTTTTCCACTCCCTTCTAACTTCCTACCAGATTTAATAAGGTGGTAAAGGCTTATTGTTATTATAGTGCCTTCGTGGCTCATAATGTCTCGGCTGCTCTAGGACGACATTTCTCTTCTCCGTTATATCGCGGTATTTAGGATGATCGACAGAGTATCATTATCATGTTGCCCAAATATGGCAAAGGGGGGCACGTAGCAAATGCTTTAATATAGCTGTGCTGAGTAATGAATATATGGTGAGGTTGATTCTTGATGGATCGTCCAATGTTTCGAATGTTTTCGGGCATAGACAAGCTGCATCCTATGCCGCTGATATAAAGGGCCATTCAGATATCTTCAACTTGATAAAAACTCGTGGTGTGACCGTGGCTGCTCCGTATACTTTCCAACACTGATGGTATAAATCAGTCGGGAGACGATGGGGAATATCGCCATGCTGATCACCTTGCTTTATTTCCGAGGCAATATATGTATGTGGTGATGAGAATTTATATGTCGACGAGCAAAGTATTGGGATGATACTGATACGGGCAAATCGAAACATGTACCTATTTTTTGTGGCTAAGAAAATTAGCTTTGACCACTATCTGGCCCATCGTGTGCACTGCTGATCAACTTGTTGATATAATATATATATCTAGTACTTTCTCGTCATTGACAATCGATTGTCGCGAATTAGAGTATTGTAAAGAATTGTAAAGAATAGGTACCAGTACTACAGCCAAGCTACACTAGAACAGGCGCTTTCTTTTTCTAAATCACGAGGACCAACTTTACTTTAATCCAAAATGATACCCACTCAGTTACTTTATTTCGTTGTTAATTTAACATCTATATAATTTCTTGCCACCAACACTTGAGCACATACGACCATAGGGTGTGGAAAACAGGGCTTCCCGTCCGCTCAGCCGTACTTAAGCCACACGCCGGTGAGTTAGTAGTTGGGTGGGTGACCACCAGCGAATCCTCACTGTTGTATGTTGTTGTCTTTTTTTTCGCCTGGCTGCCCGTACTCCAGAGGGTTGGAGAAAAACAAAGATTGCTGTGTCTAAATAATAGTATCTCGATAGAAAGTGTCAATCTGTATTTCTAAACAGCCCATCAATTCAGCATATGAAAATGCGAACGCCAAGACAAGCAGTTCTATCAAAAAACAATGCAGTCTATCTGTTATTACATGGTCAAAAGCCTCTGGCACTCAAATTCCCCCAGTATCAACACTTCTCAAGTTGACCCGCACACAACTCGTCAGGCCGCAGCCGGCGCCTTATCAGCATCCTGCGGTGGTTCACGCTTCAGCAGGCGGAACTTCCGCCTTCGAACCTGCTCCTTGTGGGTCCATAGATACCATGTGCTGATTGTGATGACTGCCAAGATTATGGTAGCAATAAAGAAGATCCAGAATTGCTTAGATACTTTGAGTTCTTCAGTTGTCCCATCGTCAAACTTGAACAAATTCATGCCGAAAAAAGACTAATAATTGGTGAGAAGGCAATTTCGTTTTAGGAGTTCGGGTTACTTCTTACCGACACAAGGCTTGCAGGCAAGTATATAAGCGTCATGATAGTGACTACCTTAACCGTTGCATTGTCATCGAAATTCTTGGTTCCGATTCGGAGCAGCTGCTCATTAGCATTAAGCATGCGGTTATTTAATTCAACCATCCGGTTGTTGAGGTCAAGCATCTGGCTGGTCATCCTGTAATCCAGCCCTAATGTAGTCTTCATGCCTGTTAGCGAGGGTGATAGTGGCCTTATCCTGGTAGTTGATGCCTACCATGCTTAAGATATCCTTGATCTTTTCCTTCAGCACGTCTACCCCAATAACAACCTCCCCCAGACGGTTTTTGTGGTATGCCATGCACGCGGCAAGTTTTTGGAAGCCATTGTCTGCGTCGTTATGCTGAGAGGCCAAAACACTGCTCAGATGACCGAGTTTTGTAAGGGTGTCCAATATCACTCTTAATCTGTATGACGTGGGCACAAGAAGGTCGCGTGTGTTGTGAATTGCCGTTAAGTTGGTGTCACCTCCGGCGGTTAGAAAATGATCGATGTTTCTCAAGATAAAGTCAAGTGATCTATCAGCCTGAGCTAAATGTTAGACAAACCAAAGAGTAGATACTGGCAGATACTCACGTGTTTGTCCACATCATGACCTAGATCTTTAACGTAGGACTGCCAATTATGCAGACAAAAAGAGAAAACCGAAGAATGAAGTGTCAGCCAAGTATGATCCGAGCGTAGCCCCTGCTGCGACAGTGAGGCATACTGCTGGATTTCTTTCTGCAGAGGTGTATTAGGGCCGACATGAAAAAAGATCCACAGGTTTTGAAGGTCATTAGGATCATGGTGATGGAAAACACCAATCTGGCGCATAGTCCAATTGTGAGTTCCCGCTCGCGCCGACGCTGGAAATGTGATTCTGTAAGAGATATCTAAAATATTGTTTAGTTCCTTTCGGTACTTGAATAGAATTTCACGCGTTGGTATTCCCCACCTCGAATGCCATTCTCACTACGTTGCACTTTCATTGCTCCTTCACCGACAGCTGCAGTCATGGGCTTATCTCCGAATGTCGAAGTCAAGTCCCATATTTCATCCCCAATGTTATATACCTTCTTGAGCTCCGAGAGAGCATCCTCTGATATTTGGAGCGGCTTGATTGATGACCTGGAGTGTATAGAGCTGGATCCGTAGAGTAAGCTGCACTGTAAAAATTCGAAAATTGATACAGAATTCTTACACAATCCGCAATTTTGGAAGTGGCGTGGTTGAAATATGTTCCTGGAACAAGCCGTTGTCTTCGAAAACAGTAGAAATGAGTTGATCTGACGTGTCAACTGTAGGATATAAAAGTTAATACTCGTCAAGTCTGTTTCGAAAGTGCCGAACTGACCGTCGCTATGGTAGATAGAGATGCTGGCTGGATCGCTAGGGAGACAGAATGTAGGATAGGTCAGATTAGTAGCCATTTCATAAGATTCTTTCCGGTAAAGAATTTTCCCGTTGGTTTAAGCGTTGGTGAAATAGTCAATAGAATTATCGCTTGCAAGGTCATTGAGACTACTTATATGAGGCGCGAAAAGAGGAAAGGAGAAGGCTTAGCCTAAAAAAATAAAAATGTAAAAAACCGGTGTGGGCTGTTGACTTAAGGATCCTGGTATACAGGATCATAGGGCATTGGACAACGCATACGGGCAACTGACCCCTACAACATATATTGTTAGAGAGTTGTACTGCATTGCTTATTCTTGGGAGGCTATGTGATTGAAATGACACTGGGTATATATTCTTTCTTGTCATATTTGCATAGAAAATGGGGGGCTGAGATGGTGCACAGCCCCTTGGCCCTATCAGGGGAAGCCGGATTCACGGGCGCTAAATCACAAGGCAGATCGACATTCATTCCAAAGCAAATGATTCCAAATGCTGAAAAGCAGTTCACAAAATCATGGTATATATCTGCTTTTTCAGCCCCAGTTCACCCGTTCATCCTCGAAGAGATCCCTATTGAAGTCAGGCATCAGAAACCGCGTACGGAATATACCAAAGGACTTCCAAGTTTGTTAGGTTGGCTTACGATATTTCATGCTAGATCAAGAGAAACTGTCAGAGAATATAATTCATCTCATGTTCAGGCCACGGGAAGCATACCTCTTGCACCTCTCTTGGCGCTTGGAAAGTGAATCGGTTGGAAAAGTACTACGAGATATACCCGTTTGAACCTTCACATTGAGATTCTATGAGGGATAGAAGGTGCTTACTACAACTTTGATCTCGCGCCCGAATAGTTCGTAAAGCCTACTCTCGAGCCTTGACTGGTTGATGTAACCACTTATTCCTTCTCTGAGAATGGTCGAAACATTTTCGCTTTGTGCACGGCTCGAAGACATCTTGGGGGAGGCTGTGTTGATAGGAATTTCAAGGCCAAGTTTGGAGTAAACTTTAGCATAATGTGGTTAGGGCGAGAAGAGTAAGATTTAACAGGATAAATAATGGCCGTCGCCTCCATACTACAGTACTCGATCCGGGTGCTCTCAAAGAGCCCCTTCGTATAGCCCTTATGTGACGCCAAGAATTTACGTACCCTTTTAATCTGATGGAAACGTGTGATCAGACGTCTAGTAGCTATGATTTATCTCAATGGAGGCTAGTGTGGCTGGGATACTAAGTCTCAGCCAATTATGAATTTTCCTGCTTGTCCTTCTGCATGAGTTCTGCCATATTGTGGTAATTGTGGCTGTCGGCGTATATGCTTCCCATCACGAGGCATCCTCCGCCGATGGGTGCAAATCCCAAGCTATACAGGTTTTGCAGACAGTACTCGTGAGGGGTAAAAACACCCCCGGGAGAATCTATTTATATACTATCTGTAATTCCTACATCTGCCACATGTGTGCAAGTCATATTTCGCAGGCCTGAAAATATCGGGAGTAAACACGGGCTAACTCCCGGGTGAGTTGCTATGTGCCAAGGGTTAACACTCTGCGTGCTAATATGATAAGTTTGTCTTTGATAAATATCTATGTTTCAAGTCTTCGTAACTCAGCTTCTATCTGCGTTCCTAGTGCAAGCTGGGCGTAAGCTATCATAGAGGCGCGGCACTAGACTAGCTATCAAATACATCCCATGCAATTTAGCGCCAAGAACAATGTTTATAAATAATACGTAGAAGAGGCTATGCCCAAGTTCTGAGGCTCTTACAGGTCCCCGCAATCACATATTTACTCAGCAAGAAGTTTTTTCACCAAGGCTCATGGTCCGTGTTTTTACTTATCTCATAACGATCTCACCAATTGGCTTTTTTTTTCTTTCCTAATAACGTGCCATAGCCCCGATTCCCTAAGCCTTTGCAGCAGCGTCCAGTGACAAGACCGCAAGATGAATACAGACGTACAGCCTTCCCGTCACCCAATGTAACACACGAAACCCCCAAGCCCTATCTCCAGAAATAATCTCTAATGACTCTGGTCAACCAGAATAGACAATCCACTCATTCACCAAGACTACCAGCAGTTAGAGGCCGATGTTGAGGAATTTCACAATCGTCTTCAGCTCGAAAGCGTCGTCGATCTGAGAACTCTCATCAAGGGCGCAAGAATCGCCAAACAGCGATGGGGTCATGCCACGCCCGGGCTGACCCCTACGGAGGTTGCGACTATAAAGGAAGAGAATTTGGAGACCTCGCTGTCGTTCTTACATACTAGGGGTCTTCTTGTTACGATTATGGCTACAGCTTGTGCCGCAATCACGCAGTATGTCCACCATGCCAGTCAGTACAGTGGAATATTTTGACAATTGTGATAGGGGGTGGCAGCAGTCAACAATCAATGGTAGCTCTCTCTTAGGGTGGGAGGCAGATCTTCACCTTGACCCCAATAATGGTCGTGATCTGTTTGTGATTGGATCCATCAACGCAGCTCCTTGGCTTTCAGGAAGTCTCATGTATGTGTCTCTGAACTCTCCAAGTCAAGTATAATTCCAGAATACTACTCTTGATATGTCTCTAATCACAATTACAGAGGGACATGGTTGAGCGATCCACTCCAAGAGAAATTTGGCAGACGCTCCGCGCTCTTCGTTGCTGCCGTTTTCTGCGTCGCTCTTGTGATAGGTAATATGTGGCTCTAAAGCTTCTTTAATTAGGACTGACTCGAATAATGAACACAGGAACAGCGCATTGCAATTCATGGGAGTCGCTACTCGTCTGTCGAATATTGCTGGGTGTGGGGGTATGTCGGCTTTTTCTCCAATTTCCTGTCTATTCCATCCCATCTCTCACTTCCACTATCTGACAAATTTTTATCTCAATAGATTGGATCAAAAGCTTCAATAGCACCTATATTTGCTGCAGAAGCAGCGCCCGACAGACATCGAGGTCAAGTCTTGATGTTGTGGCAACTTTTTGATGCATTGTACGTTCGAGCTCTCTTGAAAGGCCTCCATCTGACTTTCTTCTAGTGGAATCTTCCTCGGTTTCTTGTGTGTATTTTTGGTAAAAGGGAGTTGGAGAGTACTCCTGGCAACTGCGATAATACCCGCTATCGTCCTTCTATTTTTGGTCTTTATATGTCCTGAGTCTCCGAGATTTCTCATACAGAGAAACCGATATGTCGATGCATACAGAAGTCTTCTGGAGCTCCGAGGAACTCCCATTCAAGCTGCCCGAGATCTTTACTACATTCATGCTCAGCTCCAGGCTGAGGCTGTCACGATATGGAATCCCCACGAAGGAGACTCATGGTGGTCAGAGCCAGAGCGACTCTATGCCTACCAAAAATGGATCAAAAGAGGCAATTTCTTCAAGCGGATGGCGTATCTCGCCACTAATTCACGAACCCGAAGAGCGTGCACGGTGGCTTTGATCGTGATGGCATCGCAACAACTGTGTGGTGTAAGTTTTCTACACGGACGTCTCAAATACTATGTCTACTTGACTAACGCTTGGTTCCTCAAAAACCCACAGATCAATGTTTTAGCATTCTATTCATCCTCGCTTCTCAAACCTGATCCGAAGCACCAGATGACCTTGTTTACTGAAGCCGTCCAAGTTAAATGGTATAATTTCGGTAGGTGATGATTGAGAACAGAGCAACATCCTGACTTGATATCATCCTAACTTATTCGTCAAAACAAGGATTTGGTCTAGCCAATTTTCTTTTTACTTTGCCTGCTTACAGATTTATTGACTCTCGTGGTCGCCGACCTCTGCTCCTTATCTCATTGATTGGGATGTTTTCTAGTTTGATCGCGGTCAGCGGCTTCTTCAAAATCGAGAATCCTCATACTCGGGCAATCCTGGTAGCAGTATTCAGCAGTGTGTTTTTTGTCTTCTTCTACTCAATCGGTGCTGGGCCCATTCCTTTTACCCTCAGTGCAGAGGTGTTCCCTCTATGCGTACGCGGTAAAGTCTCCCCCTGTTTTCCTATCTTTACTATCAGACTAACAAGTACTAGAGGTGGGAATGAGTTTTAGTGTCATGATTAATTTTCTTGGTCTTGGGATTTTAGTACTTATTGTGCCCCAATGGACCAAGGGATTCAAGGGGCCGGCAAACCTCCTATTCTTCTTCTCGTGAGATTGCTGTTTCCTATGGCCTTATCTGCTCATATACTAACTATTGCAAAGAGCCATGAATGTGTTGGTGCTCATCTTGGTTTTCTTTTTGGTTGGTCTCCGCTTCTTCTGTACTGTGCGTCATGCTGATATTTCAGGTCCCGGAAACCAACTACGCGAGACTAGAGGAAATGAACTCGATATGTAAGGATTAATGCTTCAACTCATTGAACGGACCCCAATCTGCTATGAATATATGCTGATAGTATTATAGTCAACCGGGGAACAACGGAACAAGTACTGGACCACTTAGGACCTCTCTACCGGAAGTCATCACGCCAGGGAGATAGAGAGTATACACTTCCACAAATTGGAGAAGAAGTGTGAATTACTTGAAAATATGAATGTGCACATGTGGTCTTTTGTCAATATAAAAGGAGAAATCCTGATTTACAATTAAATATACCAACTCAAATGAAGTTAAAAAAACGCCGCCGGCGGGATTCGCCGCGCGTATTGTTGAGAAGCTTTTTCAGCGCAGAAGAGCTTTCTCCCGGTATGACATAGCCTGCTGGTAGAGTGGCACCCGCACCAAGAAGCAACTCGACAACGCAGACATTCCCACCCCATACAGCACGTTCCAAGATACTCATCTGATTATAGATTCCGGGGCCGTATTTGCTATTCACATTTGCTCCTCCTTCCAAGAGTGCTTTGAACTTCCTTGTCCACACGGAGTCTATATCCAGTCGGTTCGGTGCGAGTATGATGTGTAGCATCATTGGCGTCTCATATGCTGTCGTGCTCGGAATGGTTTCTGAACTATTATAAGGATCATCGGGGGGGAGCTGGTCAAAAACCATGATATCCTTGAATGCCCTGATAACGTCTTCTTGTGCACGATTATCTGATTTCACGGCAAAATGTAGGCAGTTGAACTTCTCCTGCTGCACGCAGATTCTGTGATCTGCGCCGCGTTGCAAAAGCAATGAGACTACATCGGCGTGGCCAAGGAAGGCTGCTTGCATGAGCGGAGTCTTACCCTCGCACAGTTCGTTCAGCAAAGCACTAGTACTGGCGTGGGAGTCAGGATCGATGTAAGCATCGATCACAGCTTTCACAGTCTCAACATCGCCCTTGCAGACCGCAAGATAGAGTGGCGTTTTTCTTTTGGACGAGGGGGTTCGCACATCCAAATTTCGGTTGTGGAATTTTCGCTGATGCTCAGAAAGCTCGTTGATTATTATAGCAGAATTTCCCATGTCAATAGCGTATATCAAAGGCCTGTCAGCCTGGTAGCACTGCTCCACATCGACATCGTCTTGCAGAACGTCGCGAATATGATCGATATTGTCAGTCTGTATGACAGCAACAAGAACACCCACTCTTCTACCTGGCAGTCGGCTTTCTGAGATTCGAGGAGTAATGTTTGTTATTGTAGAGGAATTAAGTTTGTGTAAACCGCTTTGAACATCACTTGCCGATGAGCGGCTGTGGTAGTCTATTTCAAGCATTGAATGAAGGAGCCTCTGCATCTCCTCGAAGAAAACTGGGCTATGAGAACCGAAATATTGGACTGGCAAATTTTTAATCCACGCTTCAACAGCCGAATTAAGAGCGGGAGGGGATCCTTGAAAGAAGCAATCGTCATGGAAGGGTGCATTGGGCGGTCCTTTTCGCATTTCGTCAAGTTCTCGCAAACTCGCGGGATCGAGTCCTAAGGCAAAAACCCTCACTAATATGCACCCAAACGACCAGACATCGCTTCTTCGTTGAGACTGAGCTTCTGGTGCCCGGTAAGCGCCCCCTCTGGGAGCATGGTTATTGACACTAGTGGCGTATCCTGAATCTCCTGGCATATCACGATGTGCTATTCGCGAGACACCAAAATCAGTAATTCGCCAAACTCCGGTAGAAGAACCATCGCGTTTGAAGACCAGAATATTCCGGGGCTTGAGATCCGCGTGGCAGATTGCTTGGTGGTGAAACTCGGGCCATTCACTGTCGAGCTGGAGGTGTGTGTGCAGGAAGTCAATGGCAGATGCAACCTTTCTGGACTCCTGGATTAGATCATTCAGAGAAGGGGTGGGTTGCATCTCTTTATAACCTCCGACTAGGAAGTCTTCCAAGTCCATGTCCGCCCACGGCATTATGATGTTCAACTCATTTCGAATGGTAAATATGGCAAGATCAGAAATGATTCGCTTGTGAGCGGACAGGCTTGATCGGAGATGATTCAGATGTCTGACTTCAACGTCATAATTTCCCTTGGGGAAGCGCTTTCGGGCAACTATGAGTTTGACCTGCACAAGAAAACCCATAAGCAACCAGCCATACCAAATCATACACTATAGAACTTACTGGGTGAGGCGCCTCTGGTATGCCAAGTTGGTCGCTTAGATGGCCGAGAATGATTTGCTTTGGAGGTATCATCTCCTTGGTCACGTTGCCGAAGCCACCATGTCGAACCGGATGATCCTCCTGAAAAAGTGGTAGGCGGAGGTCTTCTCCATAAGGGCCTTGCTTATTGCCTTTCAGCACAATTGGAAAGTAGATCCACCTATCATCCATGAAGGCGCGCACCAGGAGGGCGTTCCCAAGAAAGGAGTTGTCCTGAAGTTCCTCCTTGGTGAGCACGAGAGTATTTTTGTCCCGGCGACGATCGGTAACAGCATCATCTTGCAGGAAAAAGATCTCTCTGAGTCTCGACCATCCTGACCAGTCGTGGAGAGCGATACTCACAAGGATAGATATCGTGCGCAACAAGCCATCCCGCACTGCATCTATCTCTGGAGTGCCCCAACTTGGGTCATGACTCTTCAAAAACCGCTCCAGCCGATCCCCGGCCCATATCTCTTGGACGCTTTCATACGGAATGAATGCCTCTGCTGTGTCTTTATAGTACGTTGCCAGCTTAAGCTCACTTTGGATATCCTCTAAGCTCATTTGGCTGGCGGGGACCCCTAGTAAAACGAGCACTGGCTCGACAGAAGCAGGGCAAAAGTAACGTTTGTCAGGAACGTAGCCTGACTGTGTCAATTTGCGCTCGTTCGAGGAAGGCGGTGCGATAAGGATTTGGGTTGGACTAAAGTCATAGAGAGAAAGTTGTCAGCTGGGAACGACCAGTAATACATAAGTTCTACCGGACTCAGCCTCAATTTCACATCTTAATTTGTCAACATCCTGGGTGCGGCGCAAGATTGAGCATTTCGTCACTCGCAGGTCAAATAGGCGAGCTTTTCTGTTCGCCTGGTCATCTCTTCCTCCTATACTTTATAGAATAGCAATATATTTTCCAAAAAAAAGGGCGATTGTTGAGCTGTGACATCAGAGAGTCAGAGCGGGGAGGGAGGAGTACCCCGTTTACCCCGGAATAAGCCGGGGTAGACAAGTAGTGTCGGAGTAAAATACAGCTATCTTACCACTAGACCATAACAAAAACCCAGGTTCCTGTTTATAGCCTAGTGGGCTCATACTGCTTGGGCAAGTAGACAAGTAACATGTTTCATCCCTGTCTCTTTCTATATTGCGACGTGCGCTTTACAAAATATGTCTTTTCCATATTATAGCCGAACTGAGAAGACGCTTGTAGATCGAGATGTTCACTAGAGTACAAAATTCGTAAGTTATAAACCGTAAATCTATGCATAAAGCGACAGAGCTTCCAGTTCCCGGGGGGGGTTTACTAAAAGTTGATACATCCACTGACACACTGACAGCTATGGGATTTGAATTCAACTTACCTTAATGAAAACCCACATTTTCGATCATAATCTTCAAGTCCCTGGAAGATCAAATTTTCCTTTTCAGTCTGTAGGTAGACGACAGAAAAATACACAAAGGCACTCTATGCAAGAGACTTTTCTGCGCATAACTACGTGTAATTTCGGGTTTTTTTTTAATATTGAAATACATTGCTCTCTATAGTTTTTTTCAATACAAGTACAAGTACATACGACCATAGGGTGTGGAAAACAGGGCTTCCCGTCCGCTCAGCCGTACTTAAGCCACACGCCGGTGAGTTAGTAGTTGGGTGGGTGACCACCAGCGAATCCTCACTGTTGTATGTTTTTATTTCTTTTTTTAAAAAAAAAAGTTGATTAAACTCCTCTCTTACACAGTGACTTCACCGAAGTGTTTGACACCCAGTTGTAGCGTCTTGTGGTAGACATACAATACAGCATGCTCTAAATTTTGATCGATGGACCAATTTGCCGGCGGAATATTGATCAGCTCAACACTGAGATCATATATCTAGTAGCCTTCCCTAGAAAAATCCATGGACGAATGATACCTCATTTATGCCCCAGTGTACTCCGTACACTGTATATGAAAACAGAAAAGCTTGGAACCTTCCTCGCGGTCCGGTCCGGATTTACTTATAGAGTTAATGTCCATTTGTTCCAGCATGACAACTTCGAAGGTTCAGTTTAGAATAGCTTCAGTTAGGAAAAGTGCGCTTTGTATAATGTATTTTTTGCCCCTGGTCATAATTTTCATTTCATTTCACCCCCTCCATTACCCAAGATCACCACATATAACAAGACTAGATACGCAGATACCTGGATGGATGGTGGAGTGTAACATTGAATATATCCCACCTATCTTTGCATCAGTAGCCATGAACCTAAGCAACCCACACATCCTTATTTTAGTTGAGCTTCCGACTAATTATATGTAAATAAAGGGAGTAAGAGTCCGATCCTACGACCATCTGCCCTCAAACGCCCTTTTTCGTGAATTTTAAAGTGTCTGTTTATATATACGTACCAAGGCTACCCTGGTCTCTGTAGGGTGCTTCCTAAAACCCAACCAGTCGTTCGTCGCTGGATGGTGTCCCCAAAGAAGTTCCGGCCTACTTCGGCATCCAGAAAAAAAAGAAATCTCAGGTTTGGTTTTAGGAATAGCCGAACGCGGGGGTCGAACCCGCAGCCTTAAGATTAAGAGTCTTACGCTCTACCGATTGAGCTAGCCCGGCCGGGCTGTTGAATGCAGGTTTCCCAGTTTGAGCTAAGATCCATTTGGCTAGCTTCTTTCCGCAATACCCGCGCCAGGCCGGTATGGGATTTATCTTGTTCTTTCAATATCTCTCTCGCTACAACCACATTAACTTTTCTTTGCTTTTCTCAAGAATTGTCCTCTAGAATCTTTTGGTATCTCTTATTTCTTTTCTTTTCTTTTTTTTTTTTTTTGTGTTTTTGGCTGCTCTATGTTAAGCTGACAGAGACTGACTTGGTCGCAGACGGTATTGATGACCTGAATGTCAACATTTGGATCATACGAAGGTCTGATGGAAATGTCATGTTTAATTCGTTATTTTAATGCGTCTTGATTGATAACTTGAGTTTTGATAAAAAGAAAAGAAGAGAAAAATATTGTCTCTTTTGGTATCCGCCGTTCAGTCGCTCGCCACGATGTGTTCGTCACGGATATCTTCTAATCAAATCAAATGGAGGGGAATGCAGTAGGAAGCCCAGCAGCAGCCTTACTATTGGCATGATGAAGCTCAAAGAACGAGGACCTAAATAAAAAAAAGCTAGGAACCAGCCTCTCCACGGCCAAGAATGTTCATACTATTTTGAATCCCTTGGTTTCTCAGAATGTGACAGGCTTCAGAATGCCTGTACTCTGTAGTTGCCTCGCCTGTAATCACAATATTAGCGTGTTGTGAGTCCGCTGGGTGTCCCTGCATTTATGTACGCCCCTTACTTTCTTCTACTAGCCTGGATTCTTTTTGTAACAATTTGCGAATATAGGGAGCGATCGTGATTTGCCAAGTCCTTTGCTTTGTTGCTCACCTTTGACGAAGTGATTCGATAGTGAATATGGTTACACGTCTGAGAACTTATTGAACCTGTCCTTCCCATTGTAGCTTCTAGTGGGGTAAATGAAGTCCCATCTTTTTGGCCACAAAGTAGGATATTGGTCGTCGAGTCCTTGCTTGGATAGGAGGAAAATTGTCAGTCTGAATATTGGTCAGGTCCTCATCGATTCAGTGGCCTATCTATTAGTGGATGTAGTCGTCCATGATGGCCTGTGCGTCATCGTTAATGGTGATCAAAATACTCCATAGCCAGTGCTAGATACAAGGAACACTTTTCCTCATCGCCAGATCAGGATTTTTGCTTCTGGTACTCCGAATAATGAAAATTTATGGTCTTCCAGCTATATAGATGCTGTTAAGACTCTAGACCGAGAGTTTTGAGATGGCCTTCTATATCTTAAATCCCATAGTTGATGTTCAGAATCAGACAACGGTACAAAAGATATATATATGTCATTCCGAGGACCAATGGTAGCCATAATGGAATTCGATCTGGTTGTATGGGATATATATTTTCATGAAGCTTGATCTACAATCCGGCCAGTCCCACCAGTAGCAAGTTGTATATTATATTGAAGTATAACTCAATTGACTAGCTTACAACCCCGTAAGTCCTCAATGCCTCGACCTGACGTTTATCAAAAACCAGATATGCACTTTCAGAGCACCGTTTTGCCTCCAACATGCTTATCTTGCCAATGCCCCACCCATCACCCAAATGGGACAAAGAAATCACCATTACAGAAAAATCTAAGCCTCGATGGCGCTGCACTGTGTACGATGAGACTGATTAGCTGGGGTTGGAGCCGAAGTGTGGGGAGAGTTCACTTACATCCTCGCCAGTGGGGCAGCAAGCAATAGTGTTCTTGCAGGTTGTTCCCTCGTTACCCTCCTCAGTGAAACCTGTTATATTTGTTAATATTAGGGGTAAAGAGAAGTATGAAGGGAAAAAAGCGCACCGAGAATGTTGAGGTTCTTGATCAGACTCTGGGAGGCACAGGCGGAGTCGCCGACACCAAGCAAGTTGTTCAAGAGACCCTCGGCAAGAAGGTTGCCAATAATTCCGTCGCCATGAATGTCCTTCTTGGGATTGCAGCATGCGACTTTGCCGGATTGGCAGAGTCCTTGAGCCTGGGCGAGAGTGATCTGCTTGGAGGGATTGTGTCCCTGGACGGAGGGCATCGCGGCAACAGAGACGGCGATGGTGACCAGGGTAGCGATAGTGAACTTCATTTTGAAGGTGAGTTGGAAAAGAAGGTGGATAAAAAAGTAAAGAGAGTGTTCGTAAAAGTGAGGACTGAGAAGCGAATGATGAGAGATGCAGGTTACTCGAGTACCCTTTTATATTGTTAGGGAAGGATCAAGGTAGTATACAAGTAAGTGTTGTTGTACACGTCCAGGCTCCTAATAGGAAAACAACCCCAGGCTTGGAATGCCACGTACCTCTAATTTTGCAATCAAAACCAACATACCTATGTCGATCGGTCATTGTTTCACATTTGCTTACATTCCTGCGGGCTAGATCTAGGGGGTCCAGCTTAATTTCCGAATCAACACTACAATTACGGAGATTGAGTAGATCTACGGATGTTTAGGAGCCTGCGTCTCATTCAACGTGCCTACAAGGGGAGAGGGAAGGCAGGGGAGTACAATTAGGATTTGGTGGGTCTTCCCGGCAAGTAAAGCAAAGAGCAACTTCGATGTCTCATTCAAGCAATCGGAAAGTAATAATTGTCTCATGCCTAGTTAATAGCGAGTACGCTCCATATTACATGCGTCAATCAGCTCCTTCAGGGTCGATATTTATTGAGACAGGCATAGCCCCTAGCGCCCTACCATGTAATAAGATTCAACATTTACAAGGTTGCCGATCTCAGTATTTTACGGTATTTACCGCCAATGGCACTTTTCACCTCTACCCGCCTCACAACTATCGTTTCGTATGGTAAATCAGGCCAACTTGGGATCATGCCTTGATAATAGTCCCTTGAGGCTTTAAAGGCCTGGGCTCTCGTAAGTAGTGTATGGCTGGATACTGGGAAAACATTAGTGCTTTCTTAGTAGGGGTTTCATGATATCCAGTGGGATTAAGCATTGGATCGCCCTTGAACCCATGGGTGTCCTACGAGGAATAACGGGGCTATTCAGGTTTGCGGAGAGAGTGGTCCACCATGAGAACAAGAGCATTAACCCTTTTTAGTGAATTTCTCGATTGCCGTAAATGAAAGTGGATGGTTTGGAGAGCCCGTGACTGATTTCGTCCCGATCGTGGCGCCATGAATCGCCAAATGTAGAGAGTCATGATGGTCTGGAAAGGCCCAAAGAAAGGAAACCTGATTTTCGTAGCAAGTAACTACGTTGTGATTCGATCACAAGGGGCCCCATATGCTCCATATCCCGGACCCGGACTACCCGGATCTTGGTTTTATCAGCTAGAGTTGCATTGACAGCAGGAAAGTTCTCGGAGGCATCAAGCAGGAATTCAATATCCACTCAGTGATTAGTGGGGTTGCAGATATCGGATCGATGAATGTAGGAGGCAAAGTCCAGGGGTAATGATGATCTCTGATGATCTCTATCCATGTTGGTATGTCTGTCTTAGATTCGCGAATCAGAATTATGTCGCATTCCAAGTCCAGAGTTCTCCTTCCCTAAGGGAGCTCGACCACATGAACATATATAAGGGTGTCCTAAGCGCCTCAGTTTTCATCTTCATCACTTCACATCTTTCCATTAATCTTCACTTTCTATACACACTTTCCTTCACCAACCAGCCTTCATAATGCAGTTCACTCTCGCTACCATCATTACCCTCGCCGTTTCGGCTGTTGCCATGCCTTCCACCAACGGAACCCCCAAGGGTAAGGGCGTTACTGTTGCCCAGGCTGAGGGACTCTGCCAAGCTGGTACCGTGTCCTGCTGCAACCCCAAGAAGGATATCAGCGGCCAGGGCATCCTTGGTAACCTCCTCGCCGAGGGTCTTCTGAACAACTTGATCGGCACTGGTGATTCCGCCTGCACCTCTGTCAGCCTCATCAAGAACCTGAACATTCTCGGTTAGTTGTCGCATACCATCTCCCATCAAGATCATACTGATAATTTCCAGGCATTACCAACGAGGGCGATGAGGGAACCACCTGCACCAACACCATTGCTTGCTGCCCCGCTGGAAAGGAGGTAAGAGAACCCTTCTCTCGTTTCGATCCATTGACTTGTCTAATCATCTCAAAAATAGTGCACTGCCATCGGCCAGTAAACGTTCCACATCGGGACTGCCCCTGTCCGACCTTCCACGGACCCGCAAAGGTGGCAAGGATCTGCCTGAGAGTCATCCTTCTCAGGTCTATTTCTTTCCGGTAGTTTCTTTATTCATAGCTCGTTCAACCGCCTCAGGAAGTCGAGTTAGTATATCTTAATAATGAAAACCTTTTCGATAAAATCAAACCACTTGGACAATGTAGTCATGCACTCAATTCAATCCACCCTTGTGATAACCCAGCACACCTGTGGTCCAGCAACCCCGGCCGCCATTAACATCAATCGTATTATCCCGCTCAATCTCTCACCAATACTAACAACCTTCGGCCCTTGTTGCAAAATTTGAAGCAAATCCCACTAATCCCCCCCCATCTCTAGATTTGCATGAACGTGTCGTAGATCTGCCTCCCGTCGAATGCGAAAGTAGCTCCAAATGCCAGTTTGGTTGATGATCGAGCAACCACAATCAAGCCAGGCGTTAAAAATTCTGCAGTTAGATTGGAATGATGAGCCAAAAAAACCCATATGACTGAAAGGGGTACCCATGCTAGGGATCACCCAAAGCCATCTTCAACTGGAACCCGTGACTGAAAGCTAGTTTCGGCATTCAATTGGGTAACCAAATTCTAAATATCAGGAATGCCTGCCAGCAATTCGGGGTCACAACAGCAGTACCTTTCCATCACCATCACCAGCAAAAAAAATGCTTGAAATTCCACGCTCCTTACTTTCCACACGTTCAAATTTGCATTCATTGCCACAGCTAGAGTCCTCTATGCTGACCTAGCGGCGCATGTGCCAGGGAATGATCATTATCTTACAAACGAGTCATACGTGCGTCCATGTACCCTATGATCTGATCTTCGGACACCTCAGGCGAGAGTTAGAGGTGAAGTCGGCTTCCTTGCTGTAGAAATAATACCTCAGCTAACAATATTGCGATCGTTATCTACTATTACGCTAGCATGGGCTGCCTCGTTGCAGCATGGAAGCTGATCTGGACTTGACACTTCCCTTGGGAACTTTGCACAATGCACTCTTATTTCTTATGCAGGAATTGATTTGAGTCAAAATTTCCTAAAGTGGTTTGAATTCGGGATCGGATGAAACCCACCAATGCGTTGGCTTAGAACAAATATGTATATAGTTTTTCGGTTAAGGGAGATAGTGGAATCATATGACATTGATGATATACTCATTCGGTAGGTGGCCTATAGAACATTTTAGTCTACATTTGTAATGATTATGAATCTTTTACCCCTCAGGAAGATTATTGCGTCGTGAGGAGAAATTATGACTTTGGGCCGGTGGACACTAGAGAAGCTGAGTCATGCATATGGATACCATCGGCTTCAAGGGAGACCGAAAATTGATGAGAACCGTGCCATCATTTCCAATTCTCTCCTTTGCACCGGCAACACGGATCAAATCACGAAAAACACGGGATAGGTAACCTCCGAATCTAAGCCGCTACTCCTCTTCTAAAAACTAGATGATTAGAAAGTTTGCGGAGAAGCCAGTGATATTGCTAGGATCATAAAACTTTACAAGCATCCGAAGTATTGCCGGCTGGATCTGTACTAAAAGACGCCATATAAGTGCACTAATTCTGACTCTGCACGGGCTGAAGTTTCCCCAGAGGAATAACGTGGGGTCCCCACCCCCACGAACCTAAAATGTCACCTCGAGCCCTTTCTCGGCAAAACTCCGGCTCTTCCCCAAATCTCGCTGCATCTGCTCTGATGCCGATGATGGGTTCCCCGTTTCGGGTTGCGGTCTATAAGAAGGAGTGGTCTGGGGTGATCGCAAGATACTTCCAGATACCATCCAACCTTCCGCCATTCTAACAAAGTCACGAGAAATGGCACCTGTCACTCAGCTTGTGGTTTCAGGTCTTTTGGCCGCCATATTGGCTAATGGTCAATCTTTTGATGGGGCTGGTCGAAGCGAAGATGCTTTTAATTATGTACAGCCCAAGAACACAACTATCCTGGGCCCTTATGGACACTCGCCTGCTGTATTTCCCTCGCGTATGTGTTTGTCAAATTTTATCAATTTCATAAGTCTCTTGCTAATCCCCACTACAGCAAATGCCACCGGATCAGGTGATTGGAAAAAGGCCCACGCTAGAGCCCAAGAATTCGTGGCGAAGCTGACCGTAGACGAGAAAGCCGACATGGTTACCGGCCAGCCGGGGCCGTGTGTGGGAAATATCGTCGCAATTCCGCGACTCGACTTCCCAGGCCTTTGCTTGCAAGATGGTCCCCTGTCAATTCGAGTCGCTGACTATGTTAGCGTCTTTGCTGCCGGTGTCACCGTAGCATCAACATGGGACAGATCTCTCCTCTATGAACGAGGATATGCTATGGGAAAAGAATTCAAAGCCAAAGGCGCTCACATTGCACTCAGCCCTGTTGCCGGTCCACTCGGCCGCTCTGCCTACGCAGGCCGAAACTGGGAAGGCTTTGCTGCGGATCCTTATCTGACCGGCGTTGCTATGGAGGAGACCATCCGCGGCCATCAAGACGCTGGCGTGCAGGCTACTGCTAAGCACTTTATTGGAAATGAGCAAGAAACTCAGCGTAACCCTAGTTACGACACCAATGGAACTGTCACGGATGTTATCCAAGAAGCACTTTCCTCCAACATTGATGACCGCACTATGCACGAGTTGTATCTTTGGCCTTTTGCCAATGCTGTTCGCGCTCAAGCTGCCAGCTTCATGTGCTCATACCAACGTCTGAATGGTTCTTATGCTTGTGAGAATTCCAAGGCGCTAAACGGCCTGTTGAAGGAAGAGCTTGGTTTCCAGGGATACGTCATGTCCGACTGGGGTGGCACTCACTCTGGTGTCGCATCGATCGAGGGCGGTCTCGACATGAATATGCCCGGTGGTCTTGGGCCCTATGGCCAGGTCCCCGAAGCTGGCTCTTTCTTCGGCAAGAACGTGACGTATGCTGTCAATAATGGGACTGTGGATGAATCTCGTGTCGATGACATGATCGTCCGTATCATGACTCCTTACTACTGGCTAGGTCAGGATAAGAACTACCCTAAAATCGATCCTTCATCCGCTGATCTGAATACGTTCTCGCCTCGGTCAACTTGGCTCCGGGAGTTTAACCTCACTGGGGAGCGAAGCCGTGATGTCCGCGGAAACCACGCTAAGCTGATCCGCAAGCTTGCAGCCGAGGCTACTGTCTTGTTGAAGAATGAGAAGCAGGCCCTTCCATTGAAGGCTCCTAAAAACATCGCCATCTTTGGCAACGATGCAGGCGAGAACACTATGGGTGCTGTCAATCAAGCAACCTTTGAATTTGGCAACCTCGCGTCCGGTGGCGGCTCGGGTACCGGCCGATTTACCTATCTCGTCTCCCCACTCGAGGCCATCAAGACCCGTGCTCAGAAGGACAAGACTCTCGTACAATACTTTTTGAACAACACCCAGATTGCGACCAGTAGCGTCACTGACCTTTGGGTCCCTACAGTTCCCGATGTGTGTCTTGTCTTCCTCAAGACCTGGGCTGAAGAAGGAGCCGATCGCGAGAACCTGAAATTCGACTACAACGGCAACGAAGTTGTCGCTTCCGTCGCCAGGTCATGCAACAATACAGTCGTGATTACTCATTCCTCCGGAATCAACATTCTCCCCTTCGCTAACCACCCCAACGTCACTGCTATTCTCGCCGCACATTACCCTGGCCAGGAAGCCGGTAACTCCATCGTGGACGTACTTTATGGTGACATTAATCCTTCCGGCCATCTTCCTTACACAATTGCTAAGAACACTACCGATTACAACGCCCCACCCACCACCGAAGTGTCCACCAAGGGCCCGGACGACTGGCAGTCTTGGTTCGATGAGAAGCTCGAGATTGACTACCGCTATTTTGATGCTCAGAACATCTCCGTGCAATATGAATTTGGTTTCGGTCTCTCATACACAACCTTCAGTCTCTCGAATCTCACTGCTAAGCACGTGGCTGACTCCATCTCCTCTATTCCCAAAGACCAGCCCGTCCAGCCCGGTGGAAACCCAGCTCTTTGGGAAACTATCTTCAATGTCACCGTCTCGGTGAGCAACTCTGGTGACACCGAGGGTGCAGCTGTTCCCCAGCTGTATGTCACATTCCCGGATAGTACACCCGACGGAACGCCGCCTAAGCAGCTGCGCGGGTTTGAGAAGGTACATTTGGGTCCTGGCGAGTCTCGTCTTGTTGGATTTGAGTTGATGCGCAGGGATTTGAGTTATTGGGATATTGTTTCTCAGAAGTGGCTCATTCCTGAGGGTGAATTTACTCTTCGGGTTGGACTCAGCAGTAGGGACCTGAAGGAGGTCGCTAAGGTTACTCCTGTTCGTGCTTAAACTGTGCTGATAAAGTAACGTGCATTGCCTTCATTCCACGTTTTGTCAAAAAGCGAATATACTAGACCTAACAATATCAATATCGGTGACCTACTGAGAATAAGTAAGAATAGAGATAGCAGTGGAATACGATAAGCAGGTTTAATAAAGTCAACCTAGATAAAATCATAAGTGATAATTCACTACGGAGTACAAACGATCGATTTAAAATGCCGCACCTCGTGTTCAAATTGTCTATACTGCTCAATGGAACAGACGCGCTGTTCCGGAAAAACCTGGGAAACTAATTTAGAGCTAGCGGGTGGCGCTTACTCTATTTTATCGTTTTTAGCCAATCGGTTGTTAGAGAATACACTCGCCAAGTCACTTGTATAGAAGGCGTAGTAGATTTGATTCCAAATTAGTACGAAGTAGTGAAAGAACCCCTGTGAGAGAATGGAAGGAGAAAAGCCAATCTAGCCCCTAACATGTTCCTTCCCTAATCAGATACCAAAACAAGTCTAATCAGCATTGACAGTGCAACGGGTGAAAGCAGCACCAGGTTTGTCAACCATGACTCCAACAAAGTTATTCTTGTAGTCGGCGACAAGACGGTATTTGCCGGGTGGGCCGCCTATTCCAATGGTCAGTCCCGGTCCAACAACCATAGCCTTGATGACCTACCAGTCCAAGTTCCACCTTTAAGGATAGGATACTCGCGCAAGTCTTTGGTGACGCCCTCAAAAACCTGGGCTCCAGCGCTCTTGTTACCGAATTTGTGCGGATAGCCGCCGACGCGACGGTCACCCCCCCTTTTTGCACTCCTTGAAAGCATTGGCGACATCGTTCTTAGAGAGCGTGGTGCCTTCACAGGTAGCGCTACCAATCTTCTTCTTTTTTGCGCGGGTGGCCAGATCGTTGACACTGTGGCTGGTGTATTCCTCGGCGATCTCAGCCTCAGTCGCCTGGACGCTGCGTTCCTTGTTGTTACCCTTCTTGTCCCCTTTGTCTTTACCGGTCTCAGGCTTGGGGCTTGTGACGCGCGTGCAGGCCGTATAAGCGCCGCCAGTGGTTGCACCGGTATGCTGCATCACACCACGGAAGTCGCCTTGGTCATCCTTGTAGTCTGTGACCACACGGTATTTGCCCGGTACGCCTACAGTCATCAGCCTGTGTCAGTGTCTTTGCTATTTGAGAAGCTTACCGCCAGTGTACTTTTCACCCACAATAATGGGGAACTCCCGCAGATTAACAGGTCTCCTCCAGCAGTTCCAACACGTTGGGATCGAGGAGAACGACGACGAACCGACAGGCCTCGCGGCAATGGGACTAGGTGTGGAAGACGATGGGTATTAGCTAATGACGAAAGCGAAGCTGTCAAACGAGAACTCGGCCAGAGTCGACAAAAATGCCGCCAATCAACTGGCCACGAAAACATCACCATCAATTGAAACTGAGGCAGGGAGAATAGAGAGAGAGAGAGAGAGAGAGAGAGAGAGAGAGAGAGAGAGATGGAAGGTAGGGGGTGCACCCCACAGCAATCATTATGTGTTTATTTCTTATGAATGGGTTTGGATTCATGGGCTTTGATGTATGGGACTACGGGGTACAGGAATGGGCCGATTCCACTCTTTACTATTAGTATCTATCTGTCTGTATACTCGGGAGAGATCCCGCTCGGCGTTTGGACTCGAGTTCTTGCTTCAGTTGGATGAAGCGCCTGCATAGTCATACGCAACTAGTTAGACTGCAACAGGTTAATTGAACTTTGATCGATTGATTAATTGATTGAACAGGTTAATTGAACTTTGATTGATTGATTGATTGACCACCATTCGTCGTCGGGAGCAGGCTCTGGGACGCTATTCCCGCATCGCATAGCGAGCTACATCGGGTAAATAAATTCATCATCATCAAGCCTAGCCGCTGGGTGCCTGCATAGACACACAATGTATTACCTAGGTGGTTCAAATCTTCCACAGACACCTTCCTTTAGAAATTGTTGTTGATCTTTGAACCCGGCACAAAACCGGATGCACGCCGGTGTGTGCTGGCAAATAAAGATTTTCTTTGTGCAGTGATGACATGGTATCCAGACGAGGCAATTCTTCCGCGACTGGTGGACAGATTTTGGTTCAGGAACGATATGGTCGACATTGCTACACCTTGGCTCATGGCAAAGATGTGATGCATCCTGCCCTGTCTTGACCTCCTGGCCGTTGGCCCAAACGACAAGTTCATGAAGGACAGCAAACTTGTTGAAGCCATGGGACGAAACCTGTATGTAGCCATTGGCCTTTGAAGTGGCCAGTAAGAGAATTTCGCACCATCCATCTAGGTGATAGTGCTTTTCGTTGAGTTTGTAACTTTGGAGGATCTGTTTGCACAGTTTGCTGTCAGACTTGCATCGTTCCCTGAACTCAGCCTTTTGGTCACGTGAAGGTGCCATTGTGATGATAGAGAAGATGATGATATTCTCTATCTAGAAGCAAGACTGAGAGAGAGAGGAAGAAGAAGAAAGCAAGTCTGAGAGAGAGAGGAAGAAGAGGAAAGCAAGTACGAATAGGATACTGAGATCCTATTTATACTGCCAAACATGATGGCATATCAAACATGTTTGATCTATAGGCCTGGATGCCTATGGCATCCGACACATTGGCAAGGAGATGAAGTGGACGAGGGGTCAGCCTTGCAATGCTCGGTTACCCGAACCGGATAAAGAGGAGGTTTGACTGGCACGTTTGGGCAATTCAAACATAGGTGGGAGGTTTGAATCGATGACTATCCAGCTGGCGGAAGGTACGTGTAAGGAAACTTGTTGGATACCATAGGCATCCATGTCTGATATAGATCGATCAATCACAAACAAACAAACAATCAATCAATCAATCAATCAATCAAGCAATCAAGCAATCAATCAAGCAATCAATCAAGCAATCAAGCAAGCAATCAATCAATCAATCAAAGTTTAATTAACCTATTGCAGTCTAACTAGCTGCGTATGACTATGCAGGCGCTTCATCCAACTGAAGCAAGAATCCGAACCCAAACGCCGAGTGGGATCTCTCCCGAGTATGCAAATAGATGCTGATTGTATAGAGTGGAATCAGCCCATTCCTATACCCCATAAGCCCATAAATCAAAGCCCATAAACCAAAGCCCATCCGAACCTGTATATAGGAAATAAATATATAATGATTGCTGCGGGGTAGGCCTCTGCAAAACCCATAAATGGGTCCCGTCCCGGCCCAAATCCCAACCTATAGCCCATTCAGGGGGACCCATAAGGCCCCCATTAAATGTCGGAGTAAAATACAGCTATTTTACTACTACAGTACTACCCCGATTATATGATACGAATCCCTCTATCCATTTCTTAGCATCTAAATAAAATATACTAGAAGTGATAAATGCTTGGTATGCCTATATCATTACTAATCAAATTTATATCATATGATCAACCCCTAGTATTGAAAAAATTGTCGGATGCCATAGGTATCTAGGCATATAGATCAAACATGTTTGATATGCCATTCTATTTGGCAGTATAAATAGGATCTCAGTACCCTATCTATACTTGCTTTCTTCATCTTTCTCTCTCTCTCTCTCTCTCTCTCTCTCTCTCTCTCTCTCTCAGTCTTGCTTCTAGATAGAGAATATCATCATCTTCTCTGTCATCAGGGATATTGCTGAACACCTTTTGGTTGTTGTTCTTGTTACCAAATTTGGCTGGGTACTTGATGGCTTAGAAGAAGAAAGAGGCTTGTCAGCCGGACTAGATTGCGTTGATTCTGGTAATGATGAGGGATCCAGTGATATTTGTTGAGATTTGCAGTATACCAATCGTGGATGGGATAAAGGGCTCTTGCAGAGATGATCCTGATCCTCGAAGCACCAGATAAATTGTTAACTGTCTGAGCTCTCAATGCCTGGCAAGAAGTCCATATTTATGGGCTTCATACCCCTGTGGATACAGATGATAAATCCCTCACATGTAAGATACTGATGACAGAGAAGATGATGATATTCTCTATCTAGAAGCAAGACTGAGAGAGAGAGAAGAAGAGAAAGCAAGTATGAATAGGATACTGAGATCCTATTTATACTGCCAAACATGATGGCATATCAAACATGTTTGATCTATATGCCTGGATGCCTATGGCATCCGACAGATACAATTTTCAATATGCGACATGGATGCAGGGTATATGCAGATATGGGTGATGAAGCTGTAAAAGCATCAAAGCTGCTAACCTTGACTCGGTAGGAGTTCAATCAAAACTCGGAGCACATACTCCGTAGAACGTCTCATAATCGCCAGGCTGAGTGAGAATCAATGTGTAAGGCTGAGCTGCATGCATGATTTGGCCCCCTACAGAGGACTCCGTACGGAGTAGACATATCAGCCTTGGAAGAATGCTTGATACCTTAGACACTTAGGGCTAAGAATGGAGTGCCAAGACTGTGATGCCAAGTCTAGGGGCCAATGCGGTGACTAATACTGGGGGCCTACCTACCTGGGAATAAGCAATTCTAAGCAATAATACTTTGCCCCCAAAACGAGCTATCAACACAGCCCACTTCCGCCGTAACCGCTTCTGCAGATCCCAGTTGCCTTCTTTCATTTGTCAAAGTCTCTTCTTTTCCTCTCCATCTTACTTTCATTTCCCGACTTTCTTTGATTACCACCCTCACTATGGGGAAAGAGGACTTCCTCCAACAAATCGAAAACTCCGCGGAGTTTAAACTCCTCGACAAAGTAGTCAAAGAAGAAGTCACACCGCAAGATGCAGCCCAAGAGATTATCAACATGACCATGACTGCCTTATCCGTTCATGGTCCAAGCGAACAAATGAGGGTCGGTCTCGCAGACTACAACGTCTCTCTTGCAGTAATGGAGCTCACTCAACGCCTAGAGCAATCCAAACATACCAAGCTGGTCGAGTTTATATGTTATCTCCACAAGCAAGTTGCCGTTGATCCTTCTACGAACGAGCCCCTGACAGTCCAGGGCGATACCCTGTGGACTGACATGCCGTCGTTTGGCTACACGGAGCTCGAGACCTGGCACGAGTTTGGTGGCGAGTATAAAGGTGACTCTATCCTCCAAGTCAAACAGTCAGGACGCTAACCATATAGTCCCATGTGATCCTACCCTGAATTCTGAGGAACGAGAGCGCTGGGTGAAACTCAACGCTTTTCTCGCGCAGCTCACTCAGACGGCGTATATTGACCGTACACCTCCCAAGAAAGAAGTGCCGTTCAATCCCCTGGACAGATCACTACGGGCTATCTGGTGTATGACGATGGCATTTGAGAACGATTTGCTAGTAGATACGGCGGCGATGGAGTCCGCTTGTTACTGGTTCATCTACGCTGCGGAGCGACTGTGGGCGAATGTCGTCCACAGTTGCTCGTATCCTGAGGAATGTGGCACAGGGCCAGGAAAGAGGTATAAAGGCAAAGACTGGACGGGCTATACGCAGGAGCGATGGGGAATATGGGAGGATGCGCTCAAGGATGCTAGGACTAAATGCCAAGATGAGCGAATGAGGAAGCTGATGGATGATGCGTTGGCGAGTCTGAGAACTGGAATGGTGAATGAATAGTGAATACACTCATTTAGCTCTATTGCACATTCATTGAAATGCTATGTGTCGTCGTGTAGTGTGGTCACTATTTCTTTTCACTTTATATTGGCTCATTTCGAGGATAAGAAGGTAGTTTCGGTCCCGCCGAAACCCTCAAAACCTTATATTTAGCTCGCTTGGGATGCATGCATTGTTTCCGTTTGTGTTTTGCTATACACATATATGATGGGAGTTTGTAATAATTAGAGTAAGTATAACAGACTGTCTGGACCTCTTGTAGAGGAACGTCTTACTAGATTTGCAGTCGACGCCTTTTTCCTATAATTGGTTGGATAAGATCATGGCACGTTACTGCTGTAGCACAACATGTACTAAGCCGCAATCCCATTGATTCTTCTTATTTTGCAACATAGTGTACCTGTGCCTCCCTACATTTAACGTCGGGCTTATTGCTAACACCAAGATAATTACAATATCCGTCGCCCAGGTAATGATGGATATCAGCTTTCCTACCCCTTCATATTTCATAAACTGCCAGGAAACCCTCCTACTTATTCCCCAGCGGAGCCTTCATCTTTTGAATCTATTCATCTCGCTTAGTTTGCAGAATGATTAACGGAATGCCACTAAGCAAACAGAAAAACAAGCTGCCGTGAACGGCCAACCCATACCAATCGTACCAAATAACGGCTACGCAATAACCGCACTCACACACGATGGACTATTTCGCACAAGATTATTGACCGTAGCATTCATAGTAGAATTCTTTGGTATAAATTCTATTAATGTCGTTATAGTAATATTGGTGAGCATCACCGAGTAGTCTGGAAAGTGGAAAATACCCTGGAGCACTGACCCCTAAGGCTCATCCCGCTCCCTCTATATCACTCTAGATCGCTTAAAGTAAATCTGACCTGATTCAAGTTAGGTCAAAAAAGGACAAAAACATACAACAGTGAGGATTCGCTGGTGGTCACCCACCCAACTACTAACTCACCGGCGTGTGGCTTAAGTACGGCTGAGCGGACGGGAAGCCCTGTTTTCCACACCCTATGGTCGTATGTGCTTGGAACAGCATAATAAAAAAATATGTAATACACTTTATATTTGAATACAAAATAATCACTTTTCAAAAACGTCACACCTGATATAGATCCACCGTATCAAACAGTAGGACATGGGACCATGTTTGGCAGTAGTATAGATAGGGTCATATTATCCTATTGCTTCTTGCTTTGTCTTTCTCCCTAGTCTTACTGCTATCGTCAGATGTCCAGCTTGTGGTAGTAGTAATACCTATATATCATAGACTAGTCACTGCTAGGGACGGGATGGGTGCGGAATGGGAGATAGGAGTAATCACCAGCGATAAAGTAATTCTGTCCCGGTATAGCTTAATAAAATATCAATATAACCAGACAAAAAATAGAAAGAAGCAAATAACATGAGTATAACCAATTTCAAAACAAGAGCAAGACGAAGACAGATGGAAAAAAAATTCTTCAAAACAGGGCCACAACTGCTCATGGCCAATTGCGGGATTCATCGCCTCGGCACTATAATGGGATTTTATAGTGAGACAGCTTTGTAAACAAATGGGTTATACAAATCGTGGTGGACGCGCGTTTCTGTAATCTGGAATAGGCAGATTGAGTATCATCTCGCCGATATCAGTGCCAATGTGCTTCCTTTGAGTGTTATCCGGCATTGACAAAACGAACAACAAATGTTGGATCCACACACCAGAAAGCCGATCTCCTGAGGTTCCTTTGCGTCCTGGAGTTACAGAAGCTTGAATATCAACCCAGTAGGGAACTAGGGGCTGACCATTAAACATGATATTCGCTTGAAGTATCACATTCTGAACCACTATCTGCCCAGCGGCGGTTTGTTTGATTGCTTGCCCAACCGCGGGCAGAGGTGCGCCAGATAAAGTTTCAATCTGGAATCTATCGTCGGAGAATATTCGCATTGTCGAAGAGCCAGTATCCTCGAGAAAATCAAAAGTCATGGTTGTTGCCATTGTGTTTGTTGCTTGGGTTGTTGGGTTTCGAAGTGATATATAAACCTATTGAATTTTCGCAATCATGTCAGCACTTGGGGCCTTAGGTTTGCTTCATGGGAGATATTACCGTATGCATCGCGAGTCCATTATAGCACGAATTCATGGAGAAAAACAGATATAGAGGGCCCGGGCTGCAATCATCGATCTAAAAATTTGAGTCAGCACTGTGCGTATGCCTCTTTGATTTAGTTGTGGATATTGTTGGTGTAGCGCTAGGTTGATGTCCCCGTCTTGATTTTTTTTTCTTACTTACTCCTTCTACCCAAAATCCCTTTGGGCCATGCTTTGCGCTAAGAGCATAAAGTTCCTGCATATTCAACTTTTGGGGTCCGGCAATCAGTTTCCCATTTGACCAATAAGTGACTGAATCCCTATCCCAGGTCAGCTTCCTAGAGCGGTAAGCAGTCATGATAGCTTTGACGTTAGAAAGATCATCCTCATTGTCGTCTCCGTCTCCGAGGCTCCGCTCCAGCTTTTTCAAGGAATCGAGGCGTTGAACAACTTCCCAGCCAAGGCCCTGAGGCTCGGAGCTGATCATATCCCTAAACGAGGGCAAAATAATTGACGTTAGAATATGTAACAAAACAAAGATACAGCATAGAGTGTAGTATTTCCTTACATCTTTTCTTGCTTGATGGCTGTAAACGTTGTCATCCTGTTCTTAAAAAAATCAGGCATGATTCCCTCTTTGATGCGTTCTTTGCATCTCTCAATTTGGCCATCCACATCACTTCACGAAACTGTTAGTGAAGAAGAAGGAATCCAGAGAGGGAGGTGCTCTTGATCTTACGCTTCGTTGAGATCCGGCTCATCTACACTCCATCCGTCGGGCAGCTGGGATTGTTGTGTGATAGGAACCTCACGCGGTCCCCATATTATCCTGCTGGGTCTGACTTGCTCAGGCGGTTCGGTGAATTGAAAACCAGCACCACGCTGGAGGAGTGAATTTGCAAGAGCAACATGAGGCGAATCAGGCTCCTGCTGTTTGCCTTCTCCCTAATGGAGGCCAGCAATATTAGCATTTCAAAATATTTCTAGCTCATTTTATTCAAGTAGCTCTGTTAAAAAAAGAGGAGTGTGCCATAGTACCTTCTTCGTGCCCCCAGATCGAGCTGGCTTGGACGCAGCACTGGACCCAGCAGATCTCGATTTTCGAACACGCTTTTGTTCAACAAGACCATGTAGAAGCCCCTCGCCCTTTTCCTTCTTTTGGAGACGAGTGGTGGGCATTGTGGTCTGATAATTATTTCGATTCACAACCCAGACTGAAGAATGCAAAGATCCTAGAGCACTATAGCATGGTGATAAAAGATTCGAGGGCGAAGCTCGACCATCATATTAATAACTTCTCCATTGCGGTAGCTTTCATTGGGTTTCGGATAAAGGTGGGAAGTCAAAGAGATCTTTTGAGTCGAGCCTGGCAGAGGGGCCAGGGAGCCCAAAAAAGCATCGAGGACAAAGGACGACAGACAAAGAACGAGCTCTGGAGTGCTAACCAAGAATTCTGATTTCCTCTTTTCCTGCATTCACCTTGTTTTGGTCCCCAGGCTCTTGGCCTGGCTTGTGCGCTGCGCTCTATGTTTAAAGATGTTTTTGGCTCCGCTTTGTAAAATGTAAAAGAATGAAAGGCTAGCGATGAGTGAGATCTGCAAACCCCCAAAAAAAGACAAAAGAAACATACAACAGTGAGGATTCGCTGGTGGTCACCCACCCAACTACTAACTCACCGGCGTGTGGCTTAAGTACGGCTGAGCGGACGGGAAGCCCTGTTTTCCACACCCTATGGTCGTATGTGCTTGATTTAGCATGATAAAGAAATATAACTATACATTTCTAACAATAGCAGGGAACTAGATGAAACGCGAACACTGAGCAATAATAATACTTCTGTTTAGTATACATTCATGGTCTTCATTACTTTATTATCACATCTCTGAAGTCATTTTGTCCTTATTGAAAATACTACTTATACTAGACCGCAAGTCACCTGAAACGCTTCCAATTCAATTCTCTTGGTGTCTGCACATGGCGACAAAGATATATCTTGGTGGTCCTGTGTTACTGACCGGGATGGAAATGACCTTTGTGCCCTAGCTGATCCCCCCTCCAGTCTCTCTTTCCCACGCTCCCACTCACTAACTCAATTCAAGCCATTATCAATTCCCTACCTTATCTCACCCTACAGATCTCGATATAAACTAGACTGTCCAGTTACAGTCCGCATATAAAATTTACATTGGAGGCAGATTGTGTGTATTCTGCGCTAGTCTTATAGATACAGAGAAGTATAGGATAGGAGAAATGAATAAAAAGAGTATTGCTTGGAATATTCACCTCTCACTGGTCGAGAGCTTGTGCTTGACACTTTAGTCACGTTAGTGATGGGCAGTAGACGCGGCTCAAGGGGGAAACATACCATCACCCAATAAGCCCCCTTTCTGCGTAACAATTCGAGATGTGTTCCGGACTCAAGAATTCTCGATCCCTGGCCCGGCGCACCTTCCCCAAAGACGAAGATCGCATCGGCTTTCTGAATAGTTGCTAGTCTGTGCGCAACCGCAACAATAGTCATCTCTCGCTTGCTGGCTAATCGCTCCATGGCACTTTGTACAAGACTTTCCGAATGAGAGTCCAAACTGGATGTAGCCTCATCAAGAAGGAGAAGTCGCGGCTTTCGTATCAGTGCTCGTGCAATACAGATACGCTGTTTTTGCCCACCACTCATCGAGGTCTGGGCATTGACGCCAAGTTCTGTCAGGAAGCCATCTGGCAAAGATACTATGAAGTCATATATCTCGGCATCCTTGCATGCTTGAATCATTTGGTCCTCGGTGGTCGAATCTTCGGGGGCTTCCAGACCGAGAAGGAGATTTTCACGGATGGTGCCTTCGAAGAGTTTTGGCTCTTGGGAAACAAGCGACAAGGCGCTTCTGTAAGATGAAATCTCAATGGAACGGATGTCTCGGCCACCAAATGATATGCTCCCCTGACTGCAGTCATAAAACCGCTCAAGTAACGAGACAAGCGTGGATTTTCCACAGCCTGAAGGTCCGACAAATGCTACAAATTGACCACTGTCAATGGAGAGATCCAGATTGACAAAAGTTGGTACCTCGCGAGAGGGATATTTGAAAGAGACATTTTTCACTTCGATGGAGGAACTGGGTGTGTCATCCAAAGAAGAGAGCGGCCCCATCGGAACATGCCGAATCTGTTCCGGGGTAGGTAGCCGTGCAGCTAATATGCGACTTGCAGAAGCTTTAGCCTGGGCAATGTTCGGACCAAAACTGAAGAACTGCCCAGCAGACTGGCCGCCTTGAATGATAGCAATATAGACGACAAAAAACACAACTGGGTCATACTCGTGGGACGCGAGAAGCTGGCCGCCGTACCAGAAGGCGAGCGCCATAGCACATAGCTCAATACTGTCCGAAAACGCAAATATCAATGTTGCGTACCACGCCTTTCGGGTGGCCTTTTGACGTTGATCTTTCAGCAGCTTTGAATATCTTTCCAAGATCGTATCCTCCATGGTCAGGGCAGTGACTGTTCTGAATGCCCGAACCGCCTCCGTTGCGAACTTGGAGCTATCGGCATAAACTTCGGCATTAAGGGACTCGAATTTGATCTCATATCGAATACGCATGAAGGCAGAAAGAAATATGAATGGCATGGCGGCAAAAAAGGTGACAGCCGCCAGCTTCCATCCAAAGGCGAAGGAGATTGAAACACACCCCAGGATGTTGAAAATCGAGATGAGAGGGAAGACACCAGTTGGACCAAACATCTCCTGCAACTGTTTTGTGTCAGTGGAGAGTCTGGAAACCAGACTACCCGAGGAATTCTCCTTGCGGTCATAGTAAGACACCGGTTTGGACAAGAGGCTGTGGAAATAATCCATTCGAGAAGTGGACACGACGAACTGAACATTTAGCCTTGTCTAGAGTCTGTGAATATATGCAGACTTACCATCGAGATTGAATTTGAAGAAAGTCCTAGAATGAAATAGAAGGTCGCCATGGCAAGAGCGAGGACGAAAAACATCAATGCCCAGAAATTCGCAGCGTCCACAAGTTTTTGACCGGTGAACTGAAAAACCTGAACCAGTTTGGCGAAAAGCCAACTTTGTAGGGAAAAACCGGCTAGTGAATCCTGTAAGCTTGTATCCAGAAGATACTGGGGGAGTATGGTGCGCTCTCACAACCTGCCCCTATAGCCCCGATCAGCGTCAGTGCATATAGGACCCAATGGCTACGATTTTCAGAGAAGAGCACCCCAAAGCTGTGGAGAAAGCCAAATTCTTTCATAGATTCGGGGCCATCCTGGAAACCTTGATCCATTCCTTCTTTGTTCGAGTAATCTTCAGGCCTGACTTCCTCTTTCTGCGAAGAAATGGAGACCGGCACGTCGGCCCCCACCATATCTGTCAATGGCTCCAGCTGCTGGGCATGAACCAAACTATGGTATGCCCCTTCTTTGAGTATCAGCTCTTCGTGGGAACCTTCTTCGATATCTTTGCCGTCTTTCATGACGATGATCTTGTCCGCGCGGCGGACGGTGGACAAGCGATGAGCGATCATAATTGTAGTGCGATCTTTGGACACACGATCGAGAGCTGCCTGCACAATCTTTTCTCCTTGGACATCGATCGAGCTAGTCGCTTCATCAAGAATGAGAATTTGAGGTTGGTTGACGATGCTTCGCGCGATGGCAATTCTTTGGCGCTGTCCGCCACTCAACGTGATTCCACCTTCCCCGACAGTAGTCGAATAACCCTAAATCAAATAATCAATAAAATGGAACTAACACGACTGCAGTGGACAAGGCGCAACAATACCATGGGAAGGCGGTCGATAAATTCATCTGCAAAGGCTTGCTTGCAAGCTTCCGTGATGAGCTCCATTTTCACGGAGTCGGTTTCATTCTCCCACTGCGATCCGATCAGACCGAAAGCAACGTTATTGTATATTGAATCATTGAACAAGAACGGCTCTTGCTGAACAAGTCCAATCTGAGATCGCCACCATTTCACATCCAGGTCATTGATGTTATGAGGTCCTACACGGATTTGGCCCGGCGTAGACTCTTCTTCTTCTTCGGATTGAATCTGATACCATCGCTCAATCAATGCGACAATAGTGCTTTTCCCCGAACCGGAAGATCCAACCAAAGCCGTGGTTTTGTTCCGCTCGAATCGTGCGTTGAATCCCTTGAGCACTGTCATTTCCTTTCGTGTGGGATAGGAAAATACCACGTTTTCAAACACGATATCAGCATGGGATAGCTCGGGATCTTGAATCCCAACTTCCTTATCCTGCTTTGAATCGATAACGCCGAAAAAGGCACCTGATGCGCCTATAGCCTTCGTGATAGCCATCAATGGGCCCGCAATACCTCCCAAGATAGTGACGACGAGAAGCACCGAGAAAAATACCCTGACCGAATGTCAGAACACGATATCACAGGTATGCAAAAGATGGATGATCATACGTAATCACGGTGTTAATATTAGCAATGTGGCCTTCACGATACAGCTTCAACCCAAACCAGAAGGCTAGAGAGAAGCTGACATACATGGCAAAGAAGAGCATTCCAAGGTGGATCCCACTGACCAAGGACATACCTAAGCCACGTTTTCGTGATTCCTCGACCCACCGTGTATACTTTTTGAAAAGTGATTGCTCAGCACCCAGGGCGAACACTGTCCGAACAGAGCCAAATACTTCTGCGGCGAGGGCTGCATGCTTCTCATCCGCTTGATCCACACTTTGCTGCGTCTTTACTAAAAACGGCACTGTCAGGCTAAAGCCAAGGATCACAAATAAAATGGCTGCGCTAACAACAAGCGTCAGTGCCCACGAATAACGAAATGCGATTGCATAAGACGAAATCAGCAAGGCGAGCGACTGAAACAAAATGGCGAGTCGATCGGAAACACTTTGCTGGATCGTATTTGATAGCGCCGTTATCGCATGTGTGACTGTTCCGACTGACATCTCGTCCAGCTTGCTCACAGGAAGTGAAAAGAGGGCCTGGGTGTACTCCAGTCGTAAGGCCCCCGAGGCGCGAAGGCTAATCAATCGAAAACAAATCTACCTCGTGTTAGTAACAACGAGACTAAGTAGGCAGAAAATCTAAGTCACCATAGACGTATATGTCAGACAGAACTTTCCGATAAATAGATACACAATATACAAGCTAAAAGGAGACTGTAAATTCTTCACTGTCATGGGTAATAGAGTCTGATACTTACCTGTCTTTGTTGACAGCGGACTTGAATGATTGCTCTGTAATACCCGACCCCGGCACAAAGTACTCGTTGAATGTTCCCACCAGCTGGCCAAATACAATGTTCATCAACGGAAGGGCCTGTGTTTTTCATTAGTTGATTTCGAGCACACTTCGAAAATTCGCTTTGAACATACAACTCCCGAACCCATGGCACAAATCAGTCCTAGTATCATGATATAGATACCCCCATGAGTGGTACCATACGATAGAATCCTCTAGAGAAAGTGTGAGTCTCTCGAGGCAAATTCAGATCTATTCAGATATCAAAGCGTACCGCATAGCTTCCGAGGGTTGCTGGTTTGGCTTCCTCATCCTTTGCCTTCACTGAAGGAGTGGCCATATTGGGACTGGTGATGGAATTACTTCTCTCGCAATGTCGGTATGTGCGTTTCCACGCAATATGGGGCGCTGACAGGGAATCACGTTCTGAGAATAAATTCTCTATCGAAAAATGCAAACTTCTGCAACGTTATAAATTCATGTGTAACTCAGGAATCAAATCTCTTTCAAACGGAGTAAGCCAAAGCCTTGGCAGCTAGGCACCGACTCGTATACTACACGTGACACCTTAAATGAGGCTTCCCCTGAATGAGGCTCACCCTTAGGCAAAAGCACGTACGGAGTACATATTCGCCCTACGGAGTATTTTCTCCCAGGTCCATTTAATTTCCCTCGCATAGCAAGATAGAAGTGGCTTAGAGTGGGTCTGGATGTGAGCCTAGACATGTAAGTACTGTTCTTGAGAATTATCTACGGAAACCTGGCTCGAAAATAGATTGTCTTGCTCATTATCAGAGTCAAGAAATTATGGAGCCCTTCAAAATATGGGTTCGCTCATTTGGTCGTGATTGGTCCACCTTCAATTTGGTGCACAGTCAGCTGGGTATCATTTCCGTAGAACACGAATCTCAGCTCGAGCTTAGAGTCACAGCTAACTAGGAGATCATAGATCAACGTGGCATTGGGCTCCTGTTAAGAAACCTGATTTACAGCATCTAGTTGCTCTCAAAGATTTCCCAGTGGCTGTTAGCAAGGATTTCTATCAGGATTCAGATATGACCTTCTCCTAAATCAGACGAGCGATATCTGAGTTTGTATATAGAAGAATCTGGAAAGGTGTGAGTATGATGGGCTATAACTCAAATAAGGTGCGACTGCCCCAAGCAGAAATACTATATAAATTGAGCTTTTATGAGATAGTGGTGAGTCAAGCGTATCTTTGAACTTATTGGCAAATACCTCATTGTTTCTCGGTCCAAGACCTCAATACAGATATGGTCAGTCTATAAACCACCACTGCTCACTTCAGATACTACAAAGCTCCAAGGGATTTCTCGTGGGGTCACAGAACAGATGTGGGACGGGACCTAGTGATATGAGCTGACCTACGCCTGCCATCCTTGCCTATCTCGTTCTTGTTATTTTGCAGTGACCCCTTTCTATTATTATCCTTTTTAAAATCAATTCATTTCCGTTCTGTGTCTCCTGCGATAGCAACTGTTCCTCGCATTCAGGTTAGCCCCAGCCTCGAATAACTTCTTCATAGCGGCTTTATGTGGACTGCGTTGGCTCGGTCGGCGGTGTCTCTTTACTATCCTCTCTCTGTCTGATTATGTCTTGCCAATCTCGAGAAGATGTTTAACAACGTCTTTACATCCGCTGTCGCCTGTAATAGGTGTATTTGTAGGTTATTTATAGTGCAATAAAACTGATATATCATATCATCAATTGGGCGCGTAACTCAGTTGGTAGAGTGTTCGCTTTGCATGCGAAAAGTCCAGCGTTCGAATCGCTGCCCGTCCATTTCATTTTTTTGTGGCCTAAAACCCCACCAAGAGAAAGCATAAGCACCAAACCACTCAAGGGGAACTAGGAACCATAGAACTTATCTTGAGAAGGCTTTCACTCCACGCCTACAGATAGGAGCTGTATATAGAGTCGAGTCACGCTACTGCTTCTTCCACAAACATATCTGATGGGTTTGCGTTGTTCGCCTTTGCTTCCATGATGTAGGATGACATCTTGGCTATTTCTGGAGTCACAATATTCTACTCTAATATCCAAAATTGACATGTATCAAATTGATTTATTATCATATGTGATCAGTGTATCTTTACCTTTACGCAAACTCACACTCAAGATTGATTCATTGATCCCATCGAAAGATATCACTACGTCTTAGCTGTGCAGAGATCAATCAAATTGGTAGGCGTGATTTCCATGAAAAGTATAACACTGTTGCGTCCCATTTCTAATCATCGAATAGAGTCTACACCTAGCAAAATACCCACAACTACCTTGCCAACGTGATCTCAACGTAAGGATATTCCGTTTTCGAACTCCGCTGATTTTCGTGGACAAATCGTGGACTGCTGATATATTGTGCGGTTCTTCACAATTGGCTTTCAGGATTCAAGCAGATAATGTCTTATCGTCGACATTACCCACATCTAAATCTGGTGAGGCTGGAAAGATCCAAAAGCTGTTCACAAATTATCTTGCAAGATGATGTGTTAGAGATATCCAGACAGCGGCAGGGAATCATCAACTGGGCCTATGTCGAATGATATTGAATAATGACGCCAATCCAGGCCAAAGGAACAACCGAGGAACGTGCGTTTTCTAGAATCTAACAATGTCCTAATCCAAGAATGCTAGCTAATGCACCACAGTACCCCTCTCGGTCTAGCGAATAACAGTACAAACGGTTGAATCACTTATCCAGAGAAAGTTTCCCTCATCATTAAACTCTGCCGATTGTTTGCTCGGGATTTCGGAGACGATCTTCTCGAAGACCTTGAACTTACAACTGGAGCGAGGTCTGGCTTTCGAAGTTCCCTTCAGGCTCTCTATTTGATACAAGAGTATTCACTCAGATCTAAGACAGATTTAGCTCTTAATCTGCGGTTTAAACAAGCAACGGACCTTGATACCTGTTGGGTGCACGGTGTATCTCCGACTACGCTCCGAATTGCGATGGGTGAGAGGGAATATTATCAACCCTATATATCTTCTGAAAAATAAGGACGGAGAGACTATACCTTATGAAACTGTAAGTGGTATCGCTGTTGATTTTTCTGTCTAAATAAATCAGCGATATTCAGCAATGTCGTCAGCTTCTTGCCGATACTATTCCAGCTTCGGTCAATTTCTGTCACTTAAATTTAAGCTACGGCAGACCTTTCATGCCTTTAGTAAAGTAGTTTCGCTCAGGACTGGGCTGAAAGGAAGCGAGTTCGATAGAATCTATTCCAGTGTTCGGTCATGGGAATCAGAGCTCAAATTGGTAGGCGTTGACTTCACACAGACGGGGCTAAGTAAAAAGTCTTAGAACCATCTGGTGTTGTGGATTTGGATCAGTGGATATATGTTGGCCTTGAAAGGTTCGGCCAGCATATGATCCTTACCAGTGTTAGTTTTTCGGATGTCATTCATTTCCTATCTCTCGAATATGGCTCCGATCCAGGGGATGAACTGGTGGGCGAGTTTGGGAAAATGGCAGGGGAAAGAGAGAAAACCATGCTTAGCACATAATAGATCAGTCTTGCGTAGACTGTTTCCACTTGGCCGCAGTTAACGGCATCGAACATGATTTATCTGGGCACTTCATGTCTGACCTTGGCCACATGGCAGTCGTTGTAAGGCCCTAGGCAGATTGTATGGAAAGCAGAAGTAAAGAACAAAAATTAAAAAAAAAAACAAAAACATACAACAGTGAGGATTCGCTGGTGGTCACCCACCCAACTACTAACTCACCGGCGTGTGGCTTAAGTACGGCTGAGCGGACGGGAAGCCCTGTTTTCCACACCCTATGGTCGTATGTACCCAATTAGATACACATATAATTTATAATGAGCGCAATGTGGACTGGTTCTCCCATTATATTGGAAAGAAAGCAATATATGCTTATTAGAACATAAAGCGTGAACTCATAATCTCCGAACGGATCATGCACCATAAGCCTTACTTCCTATGAGTTTCTCTTTCTTACTATTTGACTTTTTCATTAGTGTCAATGTACGAAGAGACTCGAAATCCCCAGATAGTACGTATATGGAAAGAAAAATGTCTATGTTCATATGTATATTGTGAAATGGATGTGTTGAGGTAATGAGCGTGACAGGGAAGAAGAAGACTGAATATCTGCTGTTCAGTATATGGAAGAGTAGAGTATGCATCCCCTATAATCTACTAAACAAACATCAGACAATCGCTCAATTTCTAGTAAGTATTCAAGCATCAATGCAATGTTTCAACAGGACGGAAAAGAAAGGGGGGGTCGGCCCGAGAGAGCAGCAGACTGGTTACATGGATCTAATGGTTCTATTAAACATGTTGGTTTGGTTCGAGGCCACTAACAATCAAATGATAGCGGTGAAAAGAATCAAAAGAAAAGAAGGAAAGAAGGAAAGAAAAGAAAGGGCGGATCAATGCAATCTTGTACAAGGGAAGAACAAATGGGACAAAAGCATCAGGGGAACCAAGAAGCCCTGCTATCCAAGCTGCAGAACGAAGATACTTATGTTTGGGGACCATGGTATGTTAATAGCCTGCCTAGGTACGCTTTGATACCTTCTTCCCCTTTGGAACGCGAGCAAGCCAGTAGATGAACAACGCGCCAAAGATATTGAACGCGATATACACCCACATCAGGCCAAAGTTCCGCCAAGCATCAGCAAAATCGCTGGAGATTTGCGCAAGGTATGTATTCGTTTTGCTGACAGTGCAGAAAGAGCAGTCAGATGTAGCCTGAGGGTCTTTCAGGTATCCGGTCCCAGTCATTTTGATGAAGGGACCCATGTAGTCTTGGCAAGTTTGGTTGTCTGGAGGGTCGAACTTTAGGAACTCGACTGCCTCACAGAATGCATCAGCACCCGAAACACCTGTCGAAAGCATCGCTGAAACCAAGTAGGTAAATGGCGAAACACGGTACATGAAGATCCAAAATCCAGGTAGGGCCTCCTTGGTGGCGAGAACACCACAGAAGATCAAGCACAGGGAGAATAACAGTGTCGCAATATTTCCACCAGTCTCGGCCAGTTCAATTCCTGCGATCACCATGTGCGCAAAGGTCGAGGTGAATAACAAGAATGTCCAGATCAGTAGGAACATAAGGGCTCCTCGTTCGCTCACTGCATTATCCGGCTCTGCATTCCTATTCAAGCCAATTGGATAATACCAGCACACAAATATCAAGACCGACATAAGTGTGTTCCATGGCAATTCCACCAGGATATTCGAGATCATGAACGCCTTCCAGCTGTACGCCTTGGACGGACGCTCTCGCACCTCGTAAAGAGAACGTTGCGTAACAAAGTTTGGCATGATCTGCTGCACCAAATTGCCAAAAATTGTCATCAACATAAACACACTAAACATCTGGTTCTGGAGGCCTTGGATGGAATTCTTGGCCCGGAAAAAGGAGAATCCAATATATAGCGATGTGATAATGCAAAGGGCAGCTTTTGACCAGATGTAAGTGGGCGTTCGGAAGTATTGTGCAAACACACGTAGAAGACATTCCCACAACTGGATGTAGAAAGGTGCAGCAAATTCCCGGAATGCGTCAGGCGAAGAATCACCGTTTGAGCTGGAAGACAAGGTAGATTTCAGCTCCGAGAGGTGTTCTTTCACCTTTTCATACTCCGGACTCTCCCGCCAGACCTTTGGCCATTCAATTTGGCTGTGCGTACCCGGTGCTGCACCAATAACATCCAACATCCATTCTGCGGGATTTTCTCCAGGGGTCAGATGGTGAGCACCATTCCGTTCGAAATAGTTCGACAAAGTGGACGAGTTTTCGCCAATCTCACCAAAATAAATCGTTCTACCCCCTTTAGCTAAGAAAAGAAGGCGGTCGAATCGCTGGAACAACATCGCCGAAGGTTGGTGGATTGTGCAGAGAATTGCTTGTCCGTGCTTTGTGAGCGTGTCGATGAGGTCAAGAATGGACCAAGAAGTTTGACTATCCAAACCACTCGTAGGTTCATCAAGGAATAGTAAGAGCTGGGGTTTTGCGGCAAGCTCCACACCTATCGTCAATCTTTTCCGCTGTTCAACGTTCAATCCCTCACCTGGGACACCAACGATAGCATCGGCGTACGCCTCCATACCAAGAAGCTTGATGACCTCGTCGGCATAGTCTATCTTTTCCTGTCGACTAACTGTGGCAGGTTGACGTAGCAAGGCGCTAAACACCAAGGCTTCCCGAACTGTCGACGTAGACAAGTGCAAGTCCTGCTGTTGAACATATCCAGTTTTTCGTTGGAAGGATTGATCAGTAGGATGTCCGTCGACGAGCATTTCACCAGTGACAACACCCATTGTGACTCGGGTTGCGAGCACGTCAAGCAAAGTCGTTTTTCCAGCCCCAGAGACACCCATCAATGCGGTACAGGTCCCAGGCTTGACCCAGCCGTCAACATTGTCCAAAATTCTTCTCGGTTCTCCTTTAATCTTGATATCGTAACACACATCCTGCCAGTGGAAGATCGCGGTTTGCCGCTGAATTGCGGTCGCTTGGGGAGGGGACTCATCTGTCTTGGCGACTGCAGAAGGTTGCGAGGATACCTCTAAATCACTCTCCCCAGCAAGTTTTGGCTGATGACCTCGGCGGAACAGAAGCACTTCGCCTTTGGACTTTTTTTCGGAGATATACTCGGTGGCGAGAAGATAAGTGAACATGAAGAATATCAGGAAGGCAAAGAGAATTCCAAGGTTCCTCCACAGATTTTTCTTCAGATACCCGAAGCTCTGGCTGAGATACAAAGATCCAGACACACTTGTGGAGCCTGACTGGGCACCGACGGTTGAGCAGATGCGATGATCCATGGAGACACTCTCGTATTGACCACCAGAGGGAACAACAGCAGCACATTCAAAGTATCGATCATGGAATTCATTGACCATAAAACTTTCAAACGCGTAGGCAACTGGATTGATGTAATTCATCCAGCGAGACCACCCAAGCATATTTCGGGTGGGAATGACGAAGCCAGTGTAGATGACCATACCCAAAATCAAAATGGCGGCTGGGACCAATGCCTGGGAGAGAGATCGAGAAGTTCCCGCAATGGTTCTGAATATCATTGACATTGTGAACGTAGTCATGATCGAGAACAGCCAAAAGGTAAAGAACGCTCCACCTTCGCGACGCAAGTCGGTCATAAAGTACAATGGTATGTTGAAGGTAAATGAGTTGATCAGTTTATATGGCGTATCGCAGAGCATCGATGCAAGTGCCTCTGCAAAAGGGTGATAGAAGGCGTATCTGGCTTGTTTCTCAACAATCGGGCGTTGGGCGTATAGGGTCAGGATTTCCAATGCACTGGAGAAGGCGTTGAGGAGGACGGCAAAGAACAAAAGAGCTCCCCGAGCATAGAAGCTAGAAGTATCCTTAGGAAGGTTCACAAAGACCGATCCAATAATCAAAGCCATTATAAAGTTGCCAACCAAAGCTGTCGCTGTCAAGCTATAGTCTCCTCGAAGGCGCTGGAAGCCGCGGGTCACACAGAGGGAAATCTGGTTCCAAATCGAAATGGTATAAGGTGAATTAACCCTCTGGCGCTTGTCCTGGATAGCCCGTCGAGCATCGACAAATGCATCATAGGAGCTACCTTTTATGGGGTAACTTGCCTCATACTCCTTGATTTCAAGGAGTAGCTTAGCACGTGTTTCGCTTCCCTTCCATGCTGCCGCAAATTCATCAGGAGTGCGAGGAACGCGGCCTTCAAATCCACTCCGAACCACACGTTCCGCAGCACTGGTGATCGACGTCAAGAAGTCTGCCGTGGTTTGACGCTCTGGGCACTCATAGCCCATGTCTTCAAAGTATTTCCTAGCCTCGGTGGTCCGCCCAAAGTAGATTTGCCTTCCTTCATAAAGTAATGTTACCTTATCGAAGACATCGTAGGCGTTCTGCGAAGCCTGGTAGATAGCAACGCAAGCTGTGGTTCCCGAGTATTTACTCATAAGAGCGAGATTTCGGCAGAACTCGAGCGCATTGGCACTATCAAGGCCTCTTGTGCTATTGTCCCAGCACTGCAAGGGGCTCTGACTGAGAGTTGCCTCTGCAATACTAACGCGTTTCCTCTCGCCTCCACTAACACCACGGATGAAGTCATTTCCAACCCGGGTGTTTATTGTATGAGAAAGACCAAGCATTGCCATGACCACGTCTCTCATATGTTCGGCATATTGCTTGTTTCCCACCCCTTCAAGACGGTTTCGGGGGGCTCTGGCTAAAGCCGCAAACATGAGGGTGTCGCCAACGGAGAGCTGGGGGAAGTGGACGTCAGTCTCTGCTGCGTAGATCGCTTCGCCTTTGAAGGAATTTTGCATTTCGCTTGCAGGGATACCTAAAATGTTTGATATGCGTTAAAAGCTGTTCAATAATTGAAGTTACATGGCATGATATAGCAAGACGCTTACCCTGATAGTTGAGCATCGACTCCTCCGACATCTCAATGCCATTCATTTCACCGGCAATGGTTTTGAGTAGAGTTGAACACCCACTACCTGGCTTTCCCAGAACCACCAGTGTTTCTCCGCTCCTTACAAGACCATCGAAGTCACGCAGGATCTGAATCTTTTGAAGTTTCAGGCCAGCCAGTCGGCGGACCATGGTCCCAAGCTCCAGCACCGAGTTTAGGACGTCTTTCTGATAGTCGGTGGGGGATCCAAATCCATGGACACTCAAATTCTGGAATGCAATACCAGCGTTCCGGTCTGGGTATTTGTCGGGGTTGCGAGACCGGATGGCCAGCAACATCTTCATCCAGTCCCGTACCTTAAAGTTGGGGCTGTTAGGATTGAGTGTCGATTCAGAATCTCCATTGGTGAACGGATTGTCTAATACACCGTTCACAGAGAATCGAGTCGATTGCCGGGTGAGCTGTCGCGCTAGTCGACCAACCAGTGCCTCTCTGTTTTCTTCCTCATGCATAGTATCTTCATCCTCGTCCTTTTCTGGGTCGTGGATCATGTTGAGATCTTGCTCGCCCGAGGATAGCACTGTATTGTGACTGACCACAGACTGAGATCGAGAGGGATTCGGGTTGAGTGTCCCCAAGAGCGACATCTTGATTCCGATGTCAGCTCTCTAAGGACTGGAATAAGGAGCAGGATTGCCGTATCGCTGGGTGCTCTTGTTAGAGCGAACAAGATAGCACGACACTAAAAAGAATCACGAAGATACAATTCAATGTAATAACCTAATAAAAAAATAGATTGATGGGGAGTCGAGAAAGAATATGGTCGACAACAGTAAACCACAAACAATCTGGGAGCTCGGCATATATAAGTTTATCTCTAAATCCACAGATAAAATGTCCGTAGACAAACAAAAATTCATTAGCATCCCGGCATATCCGGTCAAGGGATAATCATCTTCTGTGAATAGCTGCAACAGAAGAACCTCCGAAGTGCCGAGATAGGTCGGAGCCTGGAGGATGATGTAAGTTCGGCCAGAAATGTGTGCCTGGCTATCAAAGTACTTCCGGATCCCGAAGCGGAGCTCATTTTGCCCCAGTTTCATGTGGGCCAGACCCCTACTTACATATGTATATCGAGGTCAATGGAGAGACCAGAAGTCAAAACTTGAAAGGGGCAGTGACTCTCCGGTTAGGGCCTGGAGGTCTTGGCATATCTCAATACGTGGTATTTACCAATTAAAGAACATCCGGCATCCGATAGACACTGTAGATGATGCCAAGCTATACCAAATAAGGCTAGAAAATAACGACCCGTTATACGCTAACCGTATGTAAAATCACATTCCCATATCTGGCAATACCTAAAGACTTGATAGATCGGATCGGAGCTAAGTGATTCCGAATTAAGGGTCAGAGCTTAACTTATATGGGGAAATCTCCCACAAGTCGCTATCTGATACAGTTGTTCCACTGTTCGCTTTTTTACTCCTGGTGCTTCAAATAGCCCCCTTTTCGGACATATGAGTGAAATTCTTGATGTTGGTTTTGTTTTGCTTTATTCTTTTAATACACCCGGGTTCCAACGCGCTTAGGGCTCCAGTCTCGGAATCCTATACCTACCTTTGTAATTTTTACGATTCATGAATATTCAAAATGAATGGGGTGCTTAACAGCCTAGCCCGTGGCGAATCTTCGTTGCGCCAACATTCATCTCGACTATCGAGGACAGAAAATGGACACCCAAGACAGCGACGGCGGGAGAGAAAGGTTGTGCTCCACAGAGACAAATGAAGTCATGTACTAATGATATCCATAGGCATGCGATACCTGTCGGCACAGAAAGATAAAATGCGAAGTTACCAACAGATCCAAATGCTCGTACTGCAGCAAAGCCAAGGTTCACTGTTCTCTGACCGATTATAGGCGGCAAAAGCATTTGAAGAAGTACAACACCATAGCCGATATCATAATCTGTCAGTATTGAATAACAATTTCAACAGTAAAAATATGATCGATCAACTGGAGGCAAATATCCAGCGTATGGAAGCTCATTTTCAGAAGATAGGGTTCGACCTGGGTCAAGATGTGAACGGACCATCCTTTGTCGAGGGGTTTGAGCAGTCGGATGAATCCTCGTCATCAACTCCAGCCGGAAACAGAGATATAAGAACAGACATGAGTATTTGGGATTCAGGACCGATACACCTGGACCATGAAAAAGACCGCTCTGTCCCTACGCAGAATGCATATCATACGCTAGCCAGCCCAATCTCGGACGTGGTCAACACAAGAATACCGGACGATCTGCCTTGCTTCTCTGTTCCAAGGTGTTTTACAGAAACACCAGGCCCTGGTGAGAACCATAGTCGATCTTGTGGTTAATTCAAGCTAACTAATACGCATAGGCTTCTCGGTCTTTTCCCCCGAGGGAAAGAAATGGATGACTCGTAGAACGGAAAGTGGATGTGTTGATTATTTGGAATCCTTCTTTTCACCGGGTGTCCACCAAAAAACGGATCAAGGCCTGCTTAAGGACTTGTTTCCCGACAAACACTTTTGCCCATTGCCCCCAAAAGATGAGATCGCATCGCTGGTGAATGACTATTTACAGCAGTTCAACCCCTTATGTCCTATCTTTCAACCGTCATCGCTATTGGCACTTTGTGATGACGACAATTTACACGGCATATTCGATTCCCCCAGTCGTTGGGCGAGTCTCAATGTCGTTTTGGCGATAAGTTTTATGCTGCGCGTAAAGAATAACTCCCTTGTGCAGGCAGAGCATCAGAAAAGCTGGCTGTTTATGAAGAACGCCTTAGGTGTTTTGAATGAGCTTTGCTTTGGATTACCAGATCTATGGACCGTGCAAGCACTCTTAGGGATGGTAAGAGAAACAACTTCCTTGAGAGAAGATGTAACTAAAAGTCCTTTTCCTATAGATTATCTTTCTGTTGGGAACATTGAGCAGTCAGCCTTGCGGGTATTTGATTTCCTCCGTGGTGCAAATATGTCATCAAATTCGACTCGAACGAAATGCGGATGGGTCTGGATTGTTTCCTGAAGAACTAGAACACCGCAGGCGGATTTTCTGGATTATATACTGCCTTGACAAAGAGTACGAAACTCCGTGGCATTGACATCTCAATCTGATGCTGACCTGTTCTAGGATATCTCTTCGGGATGGTATTCCACTAGCGCAACGGGACGATGATATGGACGTCTTATTACCAATGGAAGTTCCACTGGACGACATAGGAATCATGCCAACAACAAACCAACAAGGAACTTTCAACGCATTTAGATCAGGATGTGAACTCGCCTTAATCAAGAGCCAGGTACACAAACACCTCTACTCATTGGCAGCAGCAGATCGCCCGCTTGCTGAGGTGGCCGCCGCGGTCGGGATGCTGAACCAAAAGCTCCAAGAGTGGAAGGATAGTATCCCCACCGAGTTCCGACCCGAACTAAGAAGACGTTCCGCTTTTCCGCAGTCCCCAACAGCCGGAGTCCTTCTATTGCTGCATTTCTCATACTTCAACTGTCTCATTGCTATCCATCGGGTTACCGCGGCCTGGGGGTCAAGGCTAGGCGTGGATCTAGTTAAAGACAACAGTTTCCACATTGCACCCAATCCAGCGGTATTCATGTCGGAATCTCTGTGCACAAAATCTGCAATAGCTTCAATTGACTTGATCAAATATTTGCCCAAATCTGATATCATCCTCATCGGGTATGTGATTACGCAGACCAAAACGTGTCTGTCCTCTTTTTTCTTTGATCTGTGGCTAATCTACACAAGGATCATGATCTACTACCCGGTTCTCGCATCCAAAACACTGTCCTCGGCCATCGTCCGAAATTCACAAGGCATCTCGCGCATGTATCACACTAGGCTTATCATGCAAGTGGAATCATTTGTGTCAACTTTGGTCCTCGGTACACCTAATAGAGGGATAGAAGGACTTCTAAAGGAGTTGCAAGCCAGTAGAGAACTGGAGAGGGAAAGCGAGGCCTTCGCTTCAGTCAAACAGAAAGACAAAATCTAACGAACCAGGGTCCAATAAATAGGTACCATGAACTGCACCAAGTACATATCGATGTCTACTCCGTACGGGTACCGCAGTTAAGCGAACTACATAAGCTTATAGAGGTTAAGCACAACGATAGACTATCTTTGTCTCTTAATAATGCAGTAGAAGATACCCAAAGCTCAGGCAGAGCTGCCACACTGTTTAAGCATGCGATTTTTTGAAGAAAAAAAAGACAAAAAAACATACAACAGTGAGGATTCGCTGGTGGTCACCCACCCAACTACTAACTCACCGGCGTGTGGCTTAAGTACGGCTGAGCGGACGGGAAGCCCTGTTTTCCACACCCTATGGTCGTATGTGCTTGTTTCAGCTTGAGGACAAACTATAATAGCAAAATAATGATTACACTCATATCTTTTCTCCTGACCACTCCCGAATTAGCTTCCAGCAAGAAAATGGAGAAATTCTCCGGTCGGGAACAGGTTTGGAGTCGTTTGAAGAATCCGGGACATGTATCAAATATTGGGTTCCAGATCTGACATGAGGCTTCATGGACTGCTTTGTTGGGTGCTAAAGCTCAAATTACGACTCCTGTGCCCGAGCAATACAGATGGATAGAATGAAATCGAAGAGTATCTCACTTATTGTATCTTCTCTGGTTATGATGCTCTTGGTCAAGGTACAATCGATAATTTGATGTGCTCTGTGCCTAGCAGACTGCTCGCATTGTGCAGAGCGGTAGGCTACCATACTATATATTGATTTAATTGCGTTTCTTGCTCGATCGACTATCTGCTAGTGGTGGTCCTATCTATATTCACTAAGATATTGGGGTGGACATAATGGGCTGGAGGTGGTGATATATACTTGACGCGGTGTGCGTAAATCCAGATAATAGATACTACATACAGGTGGATAATCACCACAGAAGCGATATACCTTCATCATCATCATCCCAGGGTATAATCATATTGTAATATATCAAAATAAATCTAAATATCCTCCAGACGTAGTGTATATGCCATAACTGGCGAGTAGACCCTGCGCGTAGAAATAAGAATTGTCTGGCACACCGGTTAGATAGCTGGGGTTTCATGAATTCCTTCCTATTTTTCAGTTTGTTCTAGTTGTTCAAGCTCTTCATATTGGGTAAATTAAGTTCACTTCTCTATTCAAGCAGTCGTTGATGTCCTAGGCTCTATCAAACCTGGGCTCCGGCGCGGTAGTCGTCAGGTTGTCAGGTTGTCAGGTTGTCAGGTGGGTTTTTCATACTAGTAGCTCCCAGTAGGCTGGTTGCTACTAGTAGGAGGTCAGAGCTACTAGTCGCGACTAATATAGGGTTTATAAAATAAATTACAGCCCTAAAAGCTATTAGGTTATTAGGTTAAGTCTACTAGAAAGAGTGAAGTATTTACTAGTAGGCTAGGAGCTACTAGTAAAAAGTGCCTAACAATAACTTTTATATATTTTATCACATACCTAATAGTCTTAATATATTAATATATATTATATAGGGGGTTTTCTAATAGCTACTAGATATAACTAGTAGTAACTAAAAATTTTAGGGTAAATTTAATATATAATCGGTATTTAATTTTTAGTAATTACTAGTAATATCTTAATAGAAGTTATTGTCTAGTAGGTTCTATATAATATAGGAATAATATATAGGAGGTTAATATAGATAATTTATTATTACTAATAATTACTAGTTAGGACACTATATTTAAAATATAGTGTAACTTAAATATTACTAAGAGCTCCTAGAAAGTTCCTACTAATAAATTAAGGGAAGGGGTTATATTTATTAGTAGTAATTACTAGTAGTAACTAGTGGTTAGGATTAGAATTAAGTGTAAATTATAATAGTAAATAGCTTATCTCTATACCTAAAGGTAAAATAGTGGAAAAGGTAAGATATTAGAATAAGAATACTATATTAAACTAGATATTACTAGTAATAACTAGATATAATTAGTATAATAGCTTCTAAACTCTTAGTTTATTAGTTTACACCTAGATTACTAGTAGTAACTAATTATTAGTAGTGATAATTAGGCTTAAACTATACTAGTAATTATAAAGTATATTAGAAAGTTATAGGATAACTATAAACTCTAGCCTAAAGATAACCTTAAGAAAAGAAACCACTATTAGTAGGAAATTAAATACTAGTAAAAACTAGTAATCACTAGAAGAGTAGGGTAGGAATAATTATTCTATAGAACGATTCCTATAATATATTAGTATTACTAGTTATAACTAGTAGTAGTCGTTTATTATAGGTAACACTTATATATAACGTAAGATATAGGTAGGGTTACACTCTATATATTTTACTATATAATAGAATAAGTAGGGGCTACTAGTAATTAGTAGTAATTTAATATAATAATAGATAGATAGATTATATTTACTTCGCTAGCTCCTTTTCTATAGCGGAAGTAGTAGTATAGGTATTACTAATAGCCTAATAGGTATTACTAGTAGCCTAATAGGTATTACTAGTAGTGGTATAGGCTTTACTAGTAGAAAGATAAGTGGTATTAGTGGGCTTAGAGAGGGTAGATATAGGGGGGTAGTCTCCTTATTATTACCAGTAACTTCGACTAGCTCCTTATTATCACTACTCTTAGTTATATCGATATCTAAGTCTTTATCACTAGGGGTCTTAATAGGGTCACTAGTAATTATTAGTAACTAATAGTAAAAGCTAGTAAGAAAATAGGTATAACTTATAAAATACCTTCCTTAGTTATTACCTAGTCGCTTAGTATATATATACTAGTATATACTTTATTTCCCTAGTAAATATTAGTAATTACTAGAAATAGGTAGTAGTAAATAGTATAAACTTATATAGTAGCTCTCCTTAATATACTTTCTAATAGTACTACTAGAATAGAACTATTTAAAGTACTTTCTAGATCTATTACTACTAGTAGACACTATTAGCTACTAGTTATAATAAGTAGTATCGATAAATAGAAAATATATAGTGAATAGTTATAAAAGAGGTAGTATAATATATATTAAGTAATAGCCTTTACTAGTAATAATTAGTAACCTATAGTAATAATAAGTAGAAAAAAGATTAAAATATATAATTAGTCTAGTCTTCCGAAACTTATAGAAGTGTTTATTACTAATATAATTAGGGTAATTATAAAGTACCTTATAACTAGTAACTATTAGTAATAGCTAGTAACTACTAGTAAGTTAAAACTTATATCACTAAGTTAGGAACCACTATACCTTCCTAAGTAAGCTTCTTTACTATATACTCTTTCTAGGTATTATTAACCTTTAGGGCTTTTAAATCCTTTAGCTAAGCTAGCTAATCGATCTAGTTATTAGGCGCTATAACTAGTAGCTTCTAGTAAAATTAGGTAATTTTAGAGTTAAACTTAGTTCTTAAAGATTACTACTAGAAATAACTAGTAACTACTAGTTATAAATAAAAGTAATATCTAAAATCGAAGAAAAGATTAGCGAAAAGTAAAAAAAGTGAAATCTCTTTATTAAATTAGCTAATTATATCTTATTCTACCTATTCTAGGTATTCTATATATTATTTAACCTTATATATTAGCCTAGATATTTAATTAAGATATATAAATATATAAAGATAACTATATACTTACTTAGAATAGATAGTAATAACTAGTAGTAATAAATAATAAATAGTATAGGGAGGGGTTATACTAGTGTAAGATAAATATAAGAGGGAGAAAAAGAAAGATAAAAGTAATAAGGGGGGGTAAGTATTTATATATAAGAAATTAGTACTAGGTACCCTCTATTACCTAATCTAGTAATATTTCTTTACCTACTAGCTATACCTAGAGCTTATAAGTTACCTAAAACTCTCTTCTATTTCTAAGATCTCTTAATTAAGTAGATTCTAAAGATAAAAAATTTATTAACCTTATATCTAAAATAGGCTATCTAGGGCTATTATACTAATTATATCTAGTTATTACTAGTAATATCTAGTGTAATATAATATTCTTATTCTAATATCTTATCTCCCTAGGGATATATATATTTCTTCCTAGACTTTAATCACTCTATAACTATAGTAGATTCTTACTTATTACCTACTAGTTATTACTAGTAATAACTACTTATTAACTAGTTAGTTTATCCCCTACCTTTCTTTAGTTTTAAACCTACTAGTTACCACTATTAGTCTTCTTCTTTAAATTCTTCCTTCTTCCCCTATCTATCTACCTATCCTATTTTCCTACTTCTTTTCTCTCTTATATCCCTTTAATATATTAGTTTTACCTTTCCTATCTCTATATTTCTAGCTCCTTATAGAAACTCCTATAGCTAGGTAGTTAGATAACCCTTCTCTCCCCTATAGGGACTAAGCTAAGATCTAGAAACTATATAAAATTAGTAGCTATAAATTATACCTTAATAAACCTAAATATTCCGAAGAGCTACTAGCTACTCTTAATAGCTCTAAGCTTTCTAGGGTAATTTCTAAGTATAATAATAGCCTTTAGCTTACTATATATAGTAACTTAATATTTTAAACTATCTAATATATCCTTTATTTATTCTACCTACCTAAGTACCCTTATAGTAACTCTTAAGGATTTACCTATATTATTAATATTTTATACCTTTTACTAGAAGATACTAGTAAACTTTATTCCGATATCTAATATAGGAAGAATACCTAGGTAAATAATAATAAAGTGTGGTATAGAGAGAAGATTTACCCTAAACTAGGTAATATTAGATATATCTTTAAAACCTAGACCTACTCTAGTACTATAGTATACTAGAAGATACTAGAAGCTTTCTAATATAGCTTTAATTACTTTATAGTTACTAGTAGCCTTCTAGAGTAGATAGAGCTCTAAAGAATTATAATTACTTATAATCGCTAGTAAGAAACTAATTAGAACTAGGTCTAAGAGTAAACTTAGTAGTATTTTAAGGGACTTTATTATAGTTATATATATTAATATAAAACTTAATACCTAGAGAGAAAAATAGTT